GGATTTCGCAGAATGTCCTCTTCCGACAAGTAGCGCCTCGGTTTCTCCACCATCTCCATGTTAGTGTCGATCTTTGACCACTGTTTCATCACGACGTATAATCTATAACATGCAGTGTTGAACAGGTTCAAAGAAAAAGTGAGTTCGTATATATGCCGCCTTGATGATACAGTATTTTATTCATAGCGTCAGCTCCATATGTGGGAGAATGCTTTTGTTGCCATGGAAATGATGCAGTTCTTAGACATTACGTTGGCCCTATAATTAAGGACATACATTTTGGCTATCAGTGTCTTTTCTTAATTAGTCTGAATTAGTGGCCGCGGGATAATGAATGGCAGAAAAACAGAATAAATAGACTCGACGTAATGAAGGCAAAGAATCTAACATTTTAGATTTTACTCACCTTTAGGAAACTTGTGATCGGTACATCCGGAAATACATGTACTGCAGTAATTATTTGTATTATTGGGAATCATTTTAAAAGAATCCAGCCCATCCCACTTTATTCAATGGACTCAGTGGGTATTTTATTCCAGCATTTACGTCCTACACTTCAGGGGTTCAAAAATCCAATCGCCCGACGCCCGGGACAAGTCAGTTTTCATTTCGGGCAAATAATAGTATCTTACTTGTCCGTGGGCTACTAGATAATTTCCACTTATGGTTTCAAACTGCAAATAAACTTAGATTTAATTTCGTATATGCTCAAAATGTAGCTATTAAATTTCGCAATGATAATAAAGTAGAGTTATCTTTCTTTGCTATTTATCACTTTTCAATAAATAGTCCAGTAAACATTAACATCAAATACCATTTTGATTTCTTCTTTCATAATTACATCATCATAATTATGTCATAAAATCAGGGCAAGTGTAAAAATTAGTCAGGACAAGTTACTTTCTTAAAGTGACTTGCCCTGAGGCAAGTAACTTTAAAATTTTTTTGAACCCCTGCACTTACATATCCCCTCGTGTTCATTCATGGAAAGATGAGGTTTATCTAGACTAACACTTGGTCTCTGAATATATTCAATTTTGATTGAAACAAATAATTCCGTTAAAAGTGATAAGGATGCCCAGTGACATGGAAGACTCAGAACCTGAGCAACTCTAGACTTGTTTCGTTAAGTAGTATAGCATTGAAGAAAGGGGTGGGTGGAAGGGAAATAATGCGGTTATAGAACTGTGAGATTAATGTTTACCTTGTTGCTTGTTGGTTGACTAGCGTCGTCATCTGACTGTGCATGTACAGAACGCTGAACATCCCCAAAACACACACGCACAGCAACGTCTTGGACGTCCTTGCACGTCTCCCTTGCCACATCATGCCTTGTGTGCGCCAGCAGTAGGCTCCTGTAAGCATCTGTGTATGTGTATATTAGTCGTGGCTGGGCAACATCTGCCACCACCTTAAAGGTCTTAACCTAATCACGCCCACCACACTGTGCCTTGATCTACCATAAATATAACACGTTCTGGAATCGCAATTATGGTAACAGGTATGTAACCTCTTAAAAATCACAAATTGTATTGGTGACGCGAACAGTATAGTTTCCATGTCCAATCGCTTCGTTCATATTCCGAGGAAAATATGTTGCAGTCTGCAATTTTTCAGACGCAGTATGTCTATAACTTTCCATTCTCTAGGGAGCGAACGAGTATTGTTTTACGCCGCTTTTAGCAATATTCCAGCAATATCACGGCGGGGGACACCAGAAATGGGCTTCACACATTTTACCCATGACGTTTGACAAAACAAGCATTTCACAAATAACACGTTATCGGGAATTTTAGCACGAAGCAGGCCAAATATGACACGTTCAAAACATTATTAAAATCCCCATCATATGCATGTGCTTTGCATTCTGTTACTCATAAACCCTATAGATCTTTCAGTGCATTACTACAAATGGCCCAGGAAGTTATATTGCAAGTTCAGTTGTAAGTTTTATTACATTACAATGGCCAAAAGGGTTATTCAGTATGTTGTAACAACACAGGGACATTTCAGAAGAAAAATGGCGTTATTCACAGCATTCCTTACGTTTACATATCTTCGTAAACATTCGTACACATTTACGTAAACGTTTTTTTTGTTAAATCAGGGTTTCAGACAAAATAATGAATTTTCTATGCAATTACCCTTAAACATCTCCTTTTCAGATAGAAACAGGGGCGGCGGGGTATTTAGTGGTTAAAGCGTTGGCTTGTCACGCCGAAGACCCGGGTTCGAATCAGTCAAAGGGTACAATGTGTGAAGCCCATTTCTGGTGTTCCCCGCGTGAATTGGAATATTGCTAAAGCGGCGTAACGCAAACTCAGTCAGTCAGATAGAACAGAACTGAATAAAGTTATTCACAACGTTATGTTAACACAAACATATTTAGAACCCCCAACCCCTAAAAACAAAAATCCCCTTTGTTACTATTCGATCAGTAAATGTCCCCGTATGAGTCATCGAAATGTGAGATGTTTGATGGATCAGATCCACCTTACTACGACTGAACGTGTAACAGAGCTATGACGTTTTCATGTCAACACATACATTATTACATTCGACCCGTGAAGATCAGGGGTAGAATAGGTCTTCAGCAGCCCATGCTTGCCACAAAAGGCGAATATGCTTGTCGTAAGAGGCGACTAACGGGATCGGGTGGTCAGGCTCGCTGACTTGGTTGACACATGTCATCGGTTCCCAATTGCGCAGATCGATGCTCATGCTGTTGATCACTGGCTTGTCTGGTCCAGACTCGATTATTTACAGCCCGCCGTCATATAGCTGGAATATTGCTGAGTGCGGCGTTAAACTAAACTCACTCACTCACTCATTATTACATTCATGGCAGATTATTGACATCGTGATATTGATATGTCCACAGGTGTGTTGTGGTTTGCAGACTGAACTATCAATATATTATTAAATGTAATGGATGACTTGCACCAAACTCCAGGTACATTGCGGCAGTCTGAAATAATTAGGTCTGGACCGGAAACTCCAGTCATTGATTGTAAGCAACAACACCCAGTACCCGCTGCACTCAGTGTAACAGGAGTATCCAAGCAGTTGGCGTTAAGGGCTCCTTAAGCCAGCATAGCTTCCTATTATTAACCTCTGCCACAGGCCAGAAAAATGTGACGATTCGTCACACCTTGCAATGTCAAATTCATCCATAAAACTAAAATGTACAAATTTCTTTTACTCATATATTTTTGACGAGTTTACACATCAAACTAAACATCTTTAATAGAATGGTTTTAGTTTCACTGAGAAAATATCCAAAACATGTGACACTATTTCGATTTGCGTAGCGATCCTTTGTTTACATAGGTTGTACGGCTCCACGTGCAGTCATCGAAGCCGACGGAGAGACAAACGATGCAGCCAGTTTGATATCTAAATATGTTATGTCATAGACCTAACTGTCGCAGTTGTGGAAGAATATATGTGTAACAATGTAAAACATTATGAAGAGAGCGCCGAAAAGCTTTCGTGAGTCCAATCTCTTCTTATTATGAATATGCACGTTTGATTACAAACAAGAGAAAAGTCCGGTCACGTGATATGCAAATTAGCCTGTGGCAGTGATGTCCGGCTAACGTTGACATGAAATCAACTATGGCACCGTGACTGCTGTATCCGCTAAGTCGGTTCTTAGATCGGCACCGGTTGCTGACGATCCTTTTAAACTCAGCATCTCCTAGAAGTGTGCAGTGCTCTATCCAAGTGACTTCATTGGTACATAATGAGATGACGGTCTGTACAGATGACGAACCTGTTTTGATAAAGAGATAAGGGCTACGTTTAAGAGCCCCTTAGGAACTGAAAATGCTGGGGTTCAAGTTGTTTTAAATAGTACTTCAGTGTTATCATGGGCGTGACAGCTTTACGTGGTAGGAGTTCCAGAAGTGATGCAGGTTGTGGACGGTTTTCACCATCACGGGCATGTTGCTGACACAACAACAGTTATCAAGGCGACTTTGGGATTCGAACCCTCGATCCTTGGAATCTGGCCCTCCCTAGAGACCAAAGTGTGATGGGAAATCACCCGAATCTGTTAATTCCGGAAGTACAGAATGGTCAGACGCCACGAAGGGGCGAGTTGGTTCCACGTTCGGAATCAACAGATTCGGGTGATTTTTCATTTTTTAAAATGATGTTTCCTCCCATGTCATGGCTAAGCTCCAATTTATTTGTAATTTTGCAATACGACCTTAGTGCTAGGTCAGTTGTACGTGTAAATACAAGATGAGGATTACAGGTGAATTATCTGCTTCAAAGCAAATTGCATGACGTCGTCATGTTTTGAGTAAAACACAAAGCGGTGACGAATACGTACCTTTGTCAACTGTCAACTCTCTCACAACACTGTGTTAATTCTCCCTTCCAAAGAACAGTCATTCCTAATGACTGACTCGCGCCAATCAGTATGTTTTTTAGCAAACATTTACACTGAAAATTCCTGTTCGCATCTAATTAAACAGTACACAATCGTCTATAAATACGCTTACTGTTTCCATTGCTCCAAAGGTACGACAATTACACAAAACTGATGATCGATTCAGTGTCCATCTCTTGCTATAGCAGTGTTTTGTACGGTTTGCCTACACACAATTAAACACCCAACCAAACCTTGCCAATGATTCGATCTCAATGCAAACACTTTGTTGTGTGTTAGCGTTTAGCTGATTTCAGGTTCCCAGTGTGGATGTTGACATTCCACCTATAACACATCAATGTCTGTCCGACTTCATTAGTGGACAATGATTTCAACGGGGCGTAATGGTGCAGCTATGATAGCCTACAGCAGTCTGGGTTTGGAAGTCAACACATCGTTTTTCGTACTATGATACTCTTCAGGTGACTCCAACAGAGATAGTCTTTCAGAAAGCCCTATGTACAGCGTAGTACGTTACCAAGGCAACATTTATTTTCTCACAATGGTGATTTAAGCGTGACTTCAACAACGCAGTGGGTCTTTTAACCTCTCGGAATGCAAGATGGGTGCTTGTAGTTTGTGTTTGACGTTCCTGCTGGGTACGTATGTAGTCACGGCTAAAGGACAAATCAACAGCACAGTGAAGACAGAAATTATAGGTCTACGATCAGAACTTTTAAGGAACCTGGGGCCCAATGTACCACCAATCATGTCCGAAGGAAGTGCTATCAAACTTGAGTTATCCTTGAAGTCGCTATATATCAATAATCTCAACTCAGCGACGGAGACTCTCCATACCACAGCTTGTGTCCTTATGACCTGGTACGACAGGTCTGTCTCCTGGTCACCTGGCAACCATTCCGGTATCCAACAAGTACAGTTCGACATGTCCGAAGTGTGGACGCCCGTGTTGGTGCTCAGCAACTCCGTCGGGAATTCCGCCCCTCTCTCCACCACCGTGCCTGTCGTCCTAACGGCTGACGGGAGGTTCATGTGGCAGATCCCAGCGACGTGGGCCACAACTTGTACGATTAGCATAGAAAAGTATCCTTTTGACGAACAGTTCTGTGATCTGAAGTTCACGACAGTTGAAGGGCCCCTGCTTGAAATGACAGCCGACGCCAACGACGATCCAAAAAACGACGACATCGGTATTCTGCCTGACGGGACTGGTGAATGGGAGATTCGAAACTTGTCTTTGGTTAAAGCTGGAAAGGAAGGACAATTGCCCGGTCTACAGTATCGACTACACATGAAGCGGAGGTACCTGTTCCACATGCTGAACGTTGTGTTCCCGATGTCTGTGCTGTCGTTCACGAGCACTATGGTGTTCCTACTTCCCACACGGTCGGGAGAAAAGATAGGCTTTCTTATGGCTGTGTTTGTGTCTAACGCCCTCTTCCTCACCTACAACCAGGAGTCGATGCCTCACACCTCCAACTCTGTGTCCAGTCTATCGCTATATCTCACACTCATCCAAGTTCAGGAGTTTCTCACCATATTTGGAACCATCATGGTGTACATAGTGTATGATCAGCGAATGGTAGACCAAGAGTTGAAGGTGAAGGTCAACAAAGTACAGGTAACTCCGGTTGACAGTGCCACCTCAGATCTCAGGAAGCGCAGGTCTTTAAGGGATCGTTTCCGAGAGACCCCAGCTGACCGAAAACTGGACTGCATATTCTTTTGTATCTCCTTGTTCTTAGCTATTACGGCGTACATGACTATTCTTTTATAACGATGCAAGTGAAAAGAAACACTTCAGTTCATTGTCACATTGGCAATATCATCAGTGATTCACGATATGTAAAGGGAGATTATGTTGCCATGTCGTTGCAGTATATAGAGTTATCCCCCTTGATGTAAACGCCACTTCAGAATATCTGGTCATTCGTTTGAGAGGCATATAGGCACAGAAACATGCATTTGTACCTTTCATATTTAATAGCATCTATATGATATAAGTCTAACAAATTTCGTTTTTGTTGATTTTAAAGGAAATCTGAACGTGGCCGAAATCTTACTCGTTAAAATCGTCTGCTTCATCTTCGTTCATGAAGCATACATAACACTGATACATAGGAATGTTTCCAAGAGGTGACATGTAGAAAGTGTAAAGGCTGCCTGAGTATACCTAAAGGATCGCGATGTCAGCCAGGGAATGTTTCCAAGAGGTGACATGTAGAAAGTGTAAAGGCTGCCTGAGTATACCTAAAGGATCGCGATGTCAGCCAGGGCGACTTAGTTTCTGTAAACGCTGCCCGAAGGAGGCGTGGATCGTGGCTCACAGTGTCGATCTTTGAGTCGATCATCGATCATTTACCAATTTTGTTGAGGAAGAAATACAACACAGAGAAACCACCCTCAGTGAACACAAAAAGTGGGTGAGTGAGTCTGGTTTTACGCCAATTTTAGCAATATTATGGCGGTTGTGGAATCGGGTCTTCGGCGTGACGAGCGGACGCTTTCACCATAATCTACCCCACCGCCCCGAACAAATTGTCACTGGAACATAGTAATGTTTCAGTACTATGTACAACTCTCGTTACAAACTATCACTGTATATACTTTCAGGATATAAACATGATGTTTTATTGAACAGTGCTGTCTAGACTGAAATGATTGTGTGGACCGTATTGATTTGTATAATATATTTTAATATCGTTTTTCTGCCCGCTTGTTGTTTGGTTCCATATGCAGTAATTTCCAGCAATGAGGCAGCTGTCTGTAAGTAATGGAATCTGGACCAAACAATCCAGTGATTGACATTATAAGCGAAGGTCCACACCATCACGTTGGCATTCAATAAACCATGTCGCCGTGCCTGACCATCCGATCAATTCCGTTGTCACTTACGACCAGCAACCTGGAATTCCCTCGGGCTGTGGAAGGTTCCTTTTGACAAACTCGTGTGGAACAGTTCCAGATGATGTGCTTGAGAGATAAGAAAGTTGGTTTGATTAAATACTCGTGAAGATCGGGTTATAAATTGCCCTTCAGCAGCCCACGCTTGTTGTAAGAAACGACTTACATTATTCGGGTGAATAGGCTCGCTGACTTGATTGACACGTCATCGTCTCCCAATTGCCTAGATCGATGTTCATGCTGTTGATCACTGGATTGTCTGGTCCATACTCACTTATTTACAGACCGTCGCCATATAGCTGGAATACTGCTGAGTGCGGCGTTAAACAACAACCAACAACCATGGTTTGATAAACAGATAAAGATTGACTGTTCTAGCGGCATTAAATGGCAGCCTAGCAAGCTTAATTGACTTATGTACACTTAAATACGTTTAATATATTTCCTTATTTTTGGCCTGTGAGTTTCTATTTTTGTTGAAGAGTTTGTATACACATAGTAAAGGATATCCAAACGGGCATACAATTCTCAAGAAATAACGTAAGTATTACTAACCGAGCACAAAATAACCTTCACCAACCGCAATAGCTATCAAGCTTGTGCAGTGGAGGATCTCTACGTATCCTGCGATCCGTAATGTCCCAAACATGTGATTGAAATCTCGACTCATGCCAAGTTAGAATTGCTACCGAGAAATTTCCAATGGCTAGTGCATGGCAAGACCGAAAGCTAGCATGTCGTCCTTGAATACTGACCTTGTGCTTCAGAGGATGGTCATATAAATGTGGTACAACAACCCGGTCTAGGATGATGTGAGGTACCATTGTCCATTCAGATTTTGCCTGATCGTCACAAGGTCGGTTTTACAGTCATATGAGAGGCATCCGTGCGCCACCAATTGCCCCCAGATTCCGTTGCCCGTATGCAGTGTGTCTGCTTTGCCAAACATGAACAGAAGTAGTCGACTTCCCCATGACGTCACATTCCAGTGACGTCGAACTTGACATCAAATAGTTGTGCTACGTTGTGCTCTGGGGATAACACCATACCTCTGATAGGCCGTCTGACTCTATGCCCGGCCGATTATAGGCGAGTTCAGGCCGTTCTATTGGACAAACAACGATGTTGAAGCTACTGATTCTGAGTGGGGGTGTATCTTTCTAAGGACTTGTCACTCGTGGTCCACCTGAACGCTGACAACCATTAACATCATCAGGTTGTTTTCTGGCCAGTCGATGGCTGACAACCAACATCTACTGCAACAGCCCTCAGTACCATGCCAGCATTCTGCATACCGATAACCATCGTTGAGATGTTAAGGAGACCCGATATCAACATCGAAATCCATTGGGTTTCTAAGTTATCGAGCTATTAGAACAATTTATTGAAACTTCTTATTTGCTTAATGACGGGCACACGCATTGCAAATGGCGTCTTTAATCTTAGCATCTGCACATCTAAAAAGCATAGTGCGGGCATCAGAATCATCATACAAAAAACAGAATTATGATGTGACTACAGCGCAGATTAAAAGTCATAGATTTTGCAAAACATTTTTTCCATGTCCACATTTCAAGCACATGTAATTGCGGCGAGATAGACGACCGTGCCCATTTTTCTAAATACATGTAACGTCAATAATTCATCCGCAGCAGCATTGTACGTGGTATTATTCAAGGCAACACGTCCGTTCTAATGAACGATCAGGTATTTCTATTGAGGAGGCCATGCTAAACAGTCTGTCCATTATCAGACAATTACTCTATTCCTGTTTTCCAACTCAATATATTAAGATTTAATCCGGCCTTGTGCTTCCTCTATTCCAGTGTCACCTCTGGTGCACACACCTGCTTATCAATTCAGCACCCATTAGCAGCTACGAAGCTGATAAACTAAATGTTTAAACACGTTTTGCGTGTTCTCACAAAGCTGTAGTTCACGTGACTTTCCACGTATCAGTGTCTGTACGATCCATTAGCGGACAATGATTCCAACGGAACGTAATGGTTCAGCTTTGATAGCCTACAGCATTCTGGGATTGGAAGTCAACGTATTGTTTTCCCCACAATGATACACCTCATATGACTCCAACAGAGATAGTCTTTCAGAATGCTCTACAACGTGGTATTTTGCCAAGGCAACATTTATTTTCTCACAATGGTGATTTTCCCGTGACTTCAACAACGCAGTGGGTCTCTTCGCCTCTCGGAATGCAAGATGGGTGCTTGTCGGCTATGTTTGACGTTCCTGCTGGGTACGTGGGTAGTCAAGGCCGAAGGGCAGATCAACAGCACAGTGAAGAGAGAAATTATAGGTCTACGATCAGAACTTTTAAGGAACCTGGGGCCCAATGTACCACCAATCATGTCCGAAGAAAGTGCTATCAAACTTGAGTTATCCTTGAAGTCGCTATATATCAATGATCTCAATTCAGCGACGGAGACTCTCCATACCACAGTTTGTGTTATTATGACCTGGTACGACAGGTCTGTCTCCTGGTCACCTGGCAACCATTCCGGTATCCAACAAGTACAGTTCGACATGTCCGAAGTGTGGACGCCCGTGTTTGTGCTCAGCAACTCCGTCGGGAATTCCGGCCCTGTCTCCACCACCGTGCCCGTCGTCCTAACGGCTGACGGGAGGTTCATGTGGCAGATTCCAGCGACGTGGGCCACAACTTGTACGATTAACATAGAAAGGTATCCTTATGACGAGCAGCACTGTGCTCTGAAGTTCACAACAGTTGAAGGGGTCCTGCTTGACATAACAGCCGACGCCAACGACGACCCAAACAACGACATCGGCTTTCAGATTGACGGGACTGGTGAATGGGAGATTCTCAACTTGTCTTTGGTTAAAGCTGGAAAGGAAAGACAATCGCCCGGTCTACAGTATCGACTACACATGAAGCGGAGGTACCTGTTCCACATGCTGAACGTTGTGTTTCCGATGTCTGTCCTGTTGTTCACGAGCACTATGGTGTTCCTACTTCCCACACGGTCGGGAGAAAAGATTGGCTTTCTTATGGCTGTGTTTGTGTCTAACGCCCTCTTCCTCACCTACAACCAGGAGTCGATGCCTCACACCTCCAGCTCTGTGTCCAGTCTATCGCTATATCTCACAATCATCCAAGTTCAGGAGTTTTTAATCGTGCTGGCAACCATCGTGGTGCACATAGTGTATGATCAGCGAATAGTGGACCAAGAGTTGAAGGTGAAGGTCAACAAAGTACAGGTAACTCCGGTTGACAGGGCCACCTCAGATCTCAGGAAGCGCAGGTCTTTACGGGATCGTTTCCGAGAGACCCCAGCTGACCGAAAACTGGACTGCATATTCTTTTGTATCTCCTTGTTCTTAGCTATTACGGCGTACATGACTATTCTTTTATAACGATGCAATATTATGGTTGCTGTTGGTGGAAGTTTGTTGTTTAACGCCGCACTCAGCAATATTCCAGCTATATGGCGGTAGTCTGTAAATGATCGAGTCTGGACCAGACAATTCAGTGATCAACAGCATGAGCATCGATCTAGGCAATTGGCATGAGCTTGACCACCCGATCCCGTTAGTTGCCTCTTACGACAAGCAATGGGTTGCTGTTGACCAGTTCCAACCCGGATCTTCACGCGTAAAATATTATGGCTAGATGACTGTTGTCCATTTTAAAGAGTTCAGACATAAAGATGAAAACGTCTTCTGACCAGCTTTATACTTATAAATACCGATGTGCTACACACACATGCACGCACGCACGCACGCACGCACGCACGCACGCACTCAAACACACATCGAGGCGGGAAGATCTTGGTTCTAATTGGCCTTCAGCAACCAAAGCTTTTCAAAATGGCGACTCACCGTATCAGGCTTGCTGACTTGGTTTAAGCATGTTATCTGATCATATCTGCTTATATCGTTCAAGTGTCAATGCCTGGAATGTCTGGTCCCGACTCGAGTTTTAACAGATCGCCACCGTGCAACTGGAATTTTGGCTGAAAGGGTGAGTTCTGACGGGGTAGTCATTAAATATCGACTTATGCCTTTAACGTCTCTATGTGTATGTTACTGATAATCACTGTCTGCTTTGAGTACGACCAGGGACCGGTGGGGTAGTCTACTGGTTAAAGCGTTCGCTCGTCACACCGATGACCCAAGTTCGATTCCCCACAGGGGTACAATGTGAAGCCCGTTTCTGGGGTCCCCGACGTGATATTACTGGATTGTTGCAAAAAGCGGCGTAAAACTAAACTCACTCACACTGTATGACCCACGGTTGTGACAGACGTGACCTCAGTGCGATCTTATGGGAAAGAGGTTGCATTGTGAAGCACCAAATGTGCTTAAGGGATCTCAATAGTTTTCAGGTTTCAGAGGTGATTACCTGTTAAATCATGATGAATACTATGTCATCAGTTTTAATGAAAACTCTTCAAGGGGTAGATTTCCATGTCATACAAATTGAATTATTTTTCAAGCTCTCTCAGGCTGTTATGGAAGCGTTTGAATGGTTTCCCGCTTGTGTTTACATGCTATATTGTGCTACCTTTCCTCTAAAGGAATAACACTTCTTCGGCTGGGTTTTCCCTCGTTTTTTAGGAGATCCTTCGACCCATGTTGCTTTAAATTTGGTAAAATTTATCGGCGTCATTTGTGAATTTCCCGATTCAGAAGATAAAACAGTAATTTACTTTTATTATATTGATAACATGATTAATAAAGAGCTAAATGTTTTCAGACTTCGCCGTTTTGTTTTAAATGAAATATTAAACCATGTCTGTATTTAAGGCAATAAATTCTTTCTAAAACACTTGCATATTGATACTGGGTATAGAGTGAGTGAGTAAAACGTACATTCAGAATATCTCAACTTTCGTCCAATTACTAAAGTAATTATATATCTTTCAAATTGAATTGTGTGATATGAATGTTAAGCACACTGACAGGAAATTTGCAAATAACATATCTTATACAGTGTAGATTAGAATATGTATACATAGATGGCGGTATTTCTACCTTGTACAATTAAGTGTCTTTCGACGACAACCAAAGGCAGTGCATTATTATGGCAATTTTTCACTGCTTCTGCTTGATAATTAGATATCTTGTGCATCCTTCGTTTCCATAAGATTTTATCCGCACTTGCTAAAGGACATCAAACCAATTGTTTTCCATACTATATATCAGAACTTTTCTTCCACATAGAAATACAAATGAAATAGTGCTCATGGTCCTAGATCGAAATGATTGTTGACACGAAAACATGACTTTCGTCCATGATGCACGAAAACCGATGACGTCATCGCAATTGTTTGACGTCACGTTTCTCAGGGAGATCCAGTCAGTCAGTGTGACGTCGGGAAACAGACAAAAGTACACGTCGGCCAATCTGCTTCAGGTGGGTATCTTAACTTTCCGTGTTTTTCGGGTAATAGTGAATTTTTAACAGAGGATTAATTTCCCTTGTGAATTCTTCTCGTGGAATGTTATGCTTAGGGGTACCTACTTAGGTTATTTCTTTGTTCCGGAAAATGTAATATAGATAGAGGATCTATTCCACATCTACATGTTGGTAAACTGGCAGGGGAATCCTACACCTAGAATATATACTCATGCCAATAATGGTTGTCACCCCCTTCATTTTTTTTAATTGGAGAGGGTGTGTGGGGTTGGGGTGGGGAGTGACAACCATTATTGGCATGAGTATATTTGTCCAACCCGTAAACAATGTAGAGGGGGAATGAATTATTCTCTTGCTGACACTGTCGAGAACCACAGTGTGCAATATTCGAAAACTAGTTTTAATTAGATCTGGAAGATAATTTAAATAACATATATGTTTTAAATTACATCTATGATGTTTTCAGTTGAATCTGTGAAATTGCCAGTTATTCAAATGTGTTTTATATTGAAGTATGTTACAATTTGAGCATCAGTGGTATCTCAGTTACGTCAATCGTCTAGCGTGGAAATAACCAAGCTATCATTGTGAACATTATGGAATATATTCAGTATGACATACAGGAAACAAAGGACACCGTACACCTGTTTAATGGTGAATGAATAAAACAAACAAGAAAAGGATATTTGAGAGTAATGAATGTGGTGATGATACGGGTATCCTTGTAGTTGTTGACCTAAGATTTGCATTGTTCCGTTTCCGCGTCTGTTCTAATCCTAGTAACGTGTATATTTTTTTTATTGATATTAAGTTTTGTCAGATCAAACTTTCAGGTGCAAATGTCCTTTTGCTCTTGTGCGTGTGCGTGCGTGCGCGCGCGTGCGTGTGTGTGTAAACAAAGATTAATGGTTTGAAAGTAAAAAATTCCACACGCAACCCCAGGCAGTTACAATTTGACATACAACACCCAACTAGGCCCGCCAAAATTTACAGATTCATGCACAAATCCGGTTTTATGCTTGACTCAAAGCCTAGGCTTACTTATAGGGCCTACATAATCTGAGAATGTCTCCGAGATTAAGGTAACCTCGGACACCTGTGTGGGGGCGGTGGGGTAGCCTAATGGTTAAAGCGTTGGCTCGTCACGCCGAAGACCCGGGTTCGAATCCCCACATGGGCATAATGTGTGAAGCCCATTTCCGGTGTCCCCCGCCGTGATGTTGCTGGAATATTGCTAAAAGCGGCGTAAAACCAAAACTCAGTCAGTCAGTCGGACACCTGTGATCTGTGGATCATCACCGCATCACCATCGTCCCCGTCATGTTGCAGATGTCGGAGACTGCGGTGGCAACGTTCAACTACATGGCAGAGTACCTAGCCGCCATGTACAGACACCTCCCAGCTGTTGTCACCAGAGTCTGCAACGTGGTCTACGACACCCTGGGGTCAGGCTCAACGTTAGTCGTCCAGGGGACCCAGAGTGCCAGGCGACGGATCAGCGCCATGATGGGCTGGACGACAACCAAAGACAAATGATCCAGTTCGATCCAGTCTGATGCAAATCTCCCTTGTCTGTTGAACGGAACACATTGGGCTAATGGCATGATTAAACTTTGACACAGCCATTACTGTTTTATGTTCTGCTCCGCGCACAATAGAAGATGCCTGTTGTGCGACAGCTGCTTGTTGCCATACCAACCAAACCAGTATGTATATATACTTCATTTAGAAGTGTGCCAGGGATATATTTGGATGATAATGGACAGAGTATTAAACAATTGATAATGTTTAAAGCGAGGTTGTGAGTGACCTTGCTTGTACGCCTATTACCCATTGATACAGCGACATCACAAATGTATATGACAATGATCTATTGGGGCTTCTGTTTGTCTACCACACTCAGCAATATTCAAGGTATATGCCAGCGAACTGTAAATAATCGGGTCTGGATCAGACACACCAGTGATTATGATTATTATGATGATCATCATGCCATCTATGTACAGAGCCCAACCACCCCATCCGTTAGATCGCCTCGTACGTCCAGGCGGTCTTTTCTAACCCACGGTCCGTGCTTGGCTGCAAATATTTAATACGTACATAACAAACAATAACACCAAAATATAACAATCCATTTGGACATTTAATTTCTAAAACCGGTCTTCTACAGTCCAGCCAGGAACCTCAAGTCATATCTACCGTATTCCTGTCACTCTGGCGTATTCTCTGCTAAAAAAGATTGAGACCCACCCGATTTTGTCGTGACTCAAAGTAAGGACTCATGACATATTAATAACGAGTGAGTGAGTTTAGTTCGCCGCTTTCAGCAATATTCCAGCAACATCATGGCGGGGGAACACCAGAAATAAGCTTCACACATTGTACCCATGTGGGGAATCGAACCCGGGTCTTCGGCATGGCGAGCGAACGCTTTAACCACTAGGCTCCAATAATAATAGGAGTACAATGAAAGAATCAGGTGGCCCTTGCGTTTTTGAGCAGTGAAGGTGAGGATGGAGGAACATTCGTTTTTCAACTTATCTTGCTTCGACTTCATTTCAGACAGCCGCCACATTACTGGAGTATTTTTGATTGCGTTAAACGAACAAAACAAACAAAACTCAGATGCATTTTTTCTCATAAACGATGGATCAAATTCTAGTTGATGACGAAAACTAACTTTACAACACCCAGAAAGATGAGAATCTTGTGCTTTAATCTTGAATAATTTATTTCATCACAAAAAGAGGCACAACATATTTTGTATGTGCCTTGTCCAGGCGACAAACGGCCAGACCATGACATTGTCACTATGGACAGAAAATGCAAACGAAGAATCTTCCTCTCATAAATTTATTTTCTATTTCATACAAAAATATACATGTACTCACACAATATGGAGTAAACAAGGGGTATTTTGCAAAGTAACACATGTCAACTTGCCAGTTCTTTACACTGACATGGCACTTCACCAATCTCTAGACAGTGGTAAGTCAGCATACTGAGGGTTTGCATATTGAAACATGCATAGAACACCTGCAGGCGCGCAGCAAGCCAGTTTTTTTTGTGTAAGCCCGATAGGTTGCAAAGCTTACATTCAGATAGTATTGAGGGCTTGACCATGCTTTCTAGCAACAATCATGTGTAAGCCTGGGCTTTTTGTTTTAAAGGTAGCTATGCCCCTGAACACAGTGGGCGAAGTCGGCCATACGTACTGTTACATCGCATACCAAGCTATCATCATGAGTTACAAACATTGTATTTGGATTGCCAAGGAAACTCTGCTTATAGTTTGAAATATGAGCTAAATCTTTTGGTGCAACCAACTCTTCATATTCCTAATCCAGCTCAAGGTATGTTGTGACTCAGTTGGAACAATTACCTCTTTTCATCCCAAACAATTATATTATGTGGTGACTTAATAAGGACAACCAACTCTTTATATTCACTATATTTAGTTCCAGGTATGTGGTGCCTTGATTAGACAACCAACTCTCCATGTTCCTAATACTTAGTTCAATGTAGGTATTAACTTATAAAGAAGAACCAACTCTTCATATCTACAACATATTTTCCACCCAAAACAGTTCTCTGCCGAAGGTGCCCAGAGCACAGCGAAACTCTGTATTCCTAAACACCTTCAGACGGTACAGTGTTCTCGCTTCATGAAAATAATCTTAAAATGTGTGTCAACAAGATATTCAAAGTTTAATTCATATTCAAAAAGCATAAAAAAAGTTTAAAATCTGAGACAACATCTTTGCTTGACTCGCCTTTCTTCAGAACAGACATTTTTACACCCTCACGAGAGGACACACACTTTGTTGATATCCTTTTGGTGAGTCATTTCCTTGTTCTAACCTGCCAGCACTATAAAAATAGGTCTTTGAGCTACAAAAGGATCACATCATTATATGTGTACATATGCACACACTTTCATGTATATACACATGCATTCATTGACACACCTGAGCTTGCATACACATGCACACCTTACCATGCACACAATGCTGTAACTGAACATGCACACACACACACACGAGACACACAAGACACACACTAGTTAATCACAGGAATGTAAGGAAGACCTATACAGCTCCGTCTCACAATGATCAGGACTGATCACGTCTCCCCAGCCTCTGCTGTTGATGCTGCTGCCTCTGCTGAAGGAGTGACATGTTTCTCTGGGACCACACCCAGGTAGTCGCTGGTGTGGAATATCTGGGGCTGAACAAAGCCTGGCTGTTTGGACCGCCGCTCAGGATCCTGACTTCGTTTCTGTAAACCAGAGATGTTTGCTGTTAATGGATGTCCACATAGCTAATGCCACGGAAACAGTGTACACTGTTTGTTTGTTTAATACTGTACTCTACAGTACTCAACCTGTATGACAGTGTTTCTTTAAATAATGACCCTTGACCTCACAATCCAGTGATCAACATCATGAGCACTAATCTATACTGACTGACTGACCGACTGAGTTTGGTTTTACGCTGCTTTTAGCAATATTCCAGCAACATCACAGCGGGGACACCAGAAATGGGCTTCACACATTGTACCCATGTGGGGATTCGAACCCGGGCCTTCAGCGTGACGAGCCAACGCTTTAACCACTAGGCTACCCCACCGCCCACTAATCTATACAAATTGGGACATGGTTTCACTGATGTAATGGACTTGGCAAATCTGACCACCAGATCTTGTCAGTAACCTCTCAAGGTCGGCATGGGTTGCTGAAGACCGATTCTAACCTTCATGTGTTAGATGGCCAGGGAATGGTCATGTGATATTGCTCTTATGGTGGTATATGGCTGTTTCACAAACTAGCTAGGTTGGGTTGGTTTGAAGTTGAACATAATAAATATAACAACTATAATGATAATGAATATTATTAGTGTGGGCAGCACTGCAAAATATACCCCCTAACATCTAGTGTCTGAGAATTTAAGAAATAACAGTTTCACAAAAATTCCAAACATCTACCTGCACCCTAACAGTTTTACTACCAGTACCTTTATATCTGCTCTTAAAATATTGTGTGAAAATCAAGACCAATACACAAAGCATGCTCACAGGAAATGAATGGCCCTCTGATTCTATCAATATGCAATCATCATGCAACCACCCGATCCCCTTTTTCTGACCAGTCAGAGATCCCTGAGATTAGTCCAATTACCCATCCTTCATCTACAACAGTAGATAACCAGGTACGAAAGTGCGCCACTCACTGGACTGACGATGGAAGAGATTTTCTTCATGAAACCACCAAGAGATCCAAAGTCGTCTTCCGCCTTGCTGACCAATTCGTCCATCTTGCCAACACTCTGCTTCACCACGCCCACAAATGCCTGTCATCAAGTAACATTGAAATAAGACACCACTGTCAAATCTACATCTGATGTCCATACACAAATTGAAAATGGATTCAAAAGAGATACAGCAGAGTGCATACACTGAGATACCGAAATTTTGTGTGCACCTGAAACACAGGCAATTAAAGGCTTGGAGGCCCCAAGACATATAACAAAGAAAAATGCTCGAGTCTACACTTATACTCAAGTGATGTAACAATTTCTGCAGCTGTAATATCGTCCGATATCAAATCTCAACCTCCTCCTACAAACCAAAGCAAGCCATTTAGCACCACTCTGCATGAATATTGGATTTAACTCACAGCCAGCTGTACAAGAGGATATATCCTTAAATGTATTACAACCAGGTACACAACACTCTGAGGCAAGTAAGTGTATCTATACCTCCAGTTTGTCAATCTTCTCAAATATGATTTCCATCTCTGCACACTTGCTCTGGATGTCAGGGACTGTCTTGTTGAGACACAGTGTGGTATCGCTCCGAATCTGAAACACACTACTAACTGAGACACAGAGCTACAGATAACTGTTTGGGTCATTGAGTTATGTACTCGCTTGTGTTCATCTCAATTGGGTATCCTATTTTTTCTTTGAGTAACATAATAAATTGTACCCACCTCACTCAAACTCAATTGTGAATTTTGCCATTTTCCATTAATTGTAAAAATATAATAAAGTTTAAATGTTGGCTTACGTGTTTGTTATATATATTCGATCTGTAATATGAGAAACGATAAGAAAGACTGCAAGTTCCATGTGTTGAAATAGAGCCTCTCAATATACCTCAGTTATTTTATCCATCCACCGGTACTCAAGCTAAGATTTGACATTTGTGTGTGTATGAATGTGAGACCAAATTTATTGAATATTTACAAAAATTCAAGCGTACTTGTAAGCAATAGACTTAATAGGAATTGAGTTGTTATATAAATATTTGCGTAATTTATACAGGTATGCAGCTTATCTGTACCTCTGGAGACATATGTATGGGTGAGTGTATACTTCGTGGCCTTAATGAACTGACAGTGTTAGCATGTGCTCACTGACCTGCATCACAGACAGGTTTGTGTCAGCTGAGACCATGTATTATATGTCTCTGCTGTTAGTATGTGAAGTACTCTATTCACTTGAGTTTGTCCAGTTTTCACTTTATCATCCCCAGTATATGGCAGCATTATGCCACACAGTAACAATTATACTATAACAATTCAGGTTACACAGGAACCATGTAGGACTCTAATTATACACTTTGTCATAATCTCAAAAGTTATGTCATGATGCAATATGTTATTAAGTACATGAGAACAGTTACACCTAAGTCAGTGAAACACACACTGACTTAAGTACTCATGTACTAGTAAAAGAAACACAATTTCACAGTTCAGTTTCAAACCATTTGTGATCTTCCGGATACTAACTACATGACCTCATAATAATTTGATTAACATACAATGGCGCTAAAATGTCATCAGTCAGCCAGCTGGTGTTTATAGACTTATATTTATAAAAATATCATCAACCAATTTGCACAAGCCATGCCTCCCCTACCGCGGATGGACTTACGCTCCACAAAACCAAACAGAAACAAAGACAAACTCATCCATGTTGAATTTCTCACCATGTCCACAAGACCACAGAACTCGTCCAGTTTAGTCAGCATGTCCTCGATACTTTCACTGAACTTGCCTTGCTGAAACATATATCCACCATAATAAATAATTATTGCATATAGTATTACAAGTCTCTGCTGTGAGTATATTAAGCCCATAATATTTCATATTTAATGCTTAACAAATCACATGCAGCTGATCACATGCAAATGTTCCAGATCAATTAGGGAAATTCTCAGTGCAGTAATTCACGGTACGACAATTACATGTCGTAAACAAACAACCGGTTGGTCTGCGCTATATGGCAACCTACAACAGAATGTGTCATACTGCCAAAACCCAAGCTTCCCCTCATCTCTATCCATAACAGAAGGGGTGGTAACCACGCCCCTCTATCAGTCTGTCAGTCCGTACCTCCCGGGTGAGATCAAAGCTCATGTATTTGCTGTAGTCGCTAGCGAGGTCCTCGACGAGCTGATTGTCGTCCATGATGACGGAGTCTGGTGTGTTGGATCGCTCATCGATCTCTGATTTCACCGATGTTTCTCTCTGGAGTTCCATGGTCGAGCACCTGACATAAACTTCCGGGGAGACATTCAAAGGGACATAACTCTAGTTGTCTTACGTTCACGCAGACCGGGACACTACTGTCAAACCTGAAACTTTGGTCGTATCGGGCACTTGGGAAAATAACAGAATGCAGCAAATCAACAAAACAAATTTCGTTTGTTTGTGTGTGTGTGTAAAGGTAGGATATATATCCCACATATTCTAGAAGTTTTACTGTACATTGCTCGAATTAATATATTTGAGAATATTATAATTTAGCAACTACCTGAATGTTAAAAAACCCCACATAAGCTGTCATGATCTTGAAATTGAGCTTTGGCGTCACTGTGATGGAACTAAATTCCACATCCACCCAGCCTGCACATGTACGCAGTTAAGACAATTATACATCGACGCCAAGGTTTTTTCCACATCTCAACAACCATGAATATGACACCTTAATTGTTGTCACCGCCGAACTCTAACCTTTGACTAAGTTAACGAAATCTGTGTACTCAAACACATGGAAAGAAATGCAACTTCCGCTGTAATTCCTCCTATACATTTGTACAAATAAGCCTGAGGTCTGAAACTGCTGAAACATACACTTGACCTGACATAGATGGGTACCAGGAAGGATGGTATGGTGATATGACGTAAATCTTCCCCCTTTTCATAAAGAGGACGCAATGTAATGTAATGCTTTGATGTAGTTTTACTTTGTGGATTATTATCATTAATATTAATTGGCGATTGAATGAATAATAATATGACCTACACCTTGCAACATATGAGGTATATCAAGAGAGCCTGAAATAGATCGTGTCTGGATCAAACACACACGTTATGAGCAACGTTATATGCAGTTCGAACAATCACTAACAACAACAACAACAACAACAATGACAACAATAAAGGTATTAAAGGTCGCAATATTAATCATGTGTATTATCATAATGCGCCAAGTCCACGATTGAAAAGAGAGCATATTTGTCGTGCGCCAGGTTCGTGAAGTGGAAGTAAATTCACTGCCAAGTTGAGTGAGTAGTAAAATGTCTGAGAGTCTTTGTCCCCACTCACCAGGTAATGTATATCCCCACCCCAGCAGGTGTACCCCCGGACCGTACATTCATGACATACCAGCAACACACCCCTACAGCCCCTCAGCACTTTTCGCGTGACAGATACGTAGATACCATCACACTAGATGGCTGGTTGGGAATATAAACGGTCGGTGATTAATTTAGTCTTTGTCAAGAAATTAGCGAAGTGGAATTAGCTGAGTGTATCTTTCCTAAAATGAGGGTCAGTATCGTCAGAGTTGAAAGAATCAGCGAGGTAGAATATACCCGTCGACACCGCTCGTGTGATTACAGATGTTCTTGTGGGTGCAGTGTTAAAGGGTCGATCTAGAAGGCTGCTTCACGGTGGGTTAGTAATCCACCCACTGGCGAGATGTAGGGCTGTCACACAAAAGATCTTAGCGATAAGACATAACTTCCATAGTTTGTTTCGCACCTGTGAGTGAGACACCTATTTGAGATAGCTGGTATCTAACGTACGAGATCGAATTCAATGGTGATGATCTGTGTTCATATCATTACTGTCTAATCTCCTGATTGTAATATATTGAAAAGTTTGCCTTGTTTCACACGAGTGAGTGAGTTTAGTTTTACGCCGCACTCGGCAATATTCCAGCTATATGGCGACGGTCTCTAAGAAACCCTGTGATATCAGAAATATATAGCGGTGTTTTTTCATCTCATGTTGTTTTCATTATCATCTTCCCCTTGGAAATCAACAGGTATGGTGGAACCTTTTGTGTGGAGGGTCACGCTTGGTATGAGCAGTATGCAGTAGGCCGGAAGTCGTCACAAATGACGTCACTTTGATCACTTTGATCACTTTGACAAAATATACATCGACTAAATGCTATTGACTGACTGACTGAGTTTGGTTTTACGCCGCTTTTAGCAATATTCCAGCAACATCACGGCGGGGGACACCAGAAATGGGCTTCACACATTGTGCCCATGTGGGGATTCTAACCCGGGTCTTCGGCGTGACGAGCCAACGCTTTAACCATTAGGCTACCCCACCGCCCTAATGCTATTGTAGTGAGTTTAGGTGTGTAGGGGGTACTGTTCTCGTGTCTGTCAGATACCATTTGTCTTACAACTCGTTTTGGGACGTATCTTACTCCATTTTTATCGCGAAACACTGACAATCGTAGTTCTCAGATTATCGACTTGAACTGCCGGGACTATACATGTATTCGTGTTTAGTGCAGTGGGTAATGCTGTTTTAAACCACTAGCAATATTCTTGGGGTGGGTTTGCGAATAAAATTAACTGTCAAGTCGAGTCTTTTAAAAGAAAGAACTGGCATCTTATAATTTCTCCAGCTAAATGGGAGTTTACAAAATAGGTAAACGTGGCCGAGGGTTCAGATCCTAGATGTGATCCATTTCTCAACTATTTACGTGTTCTTGAATTACGTGAAAATAGTTATTGCCTATGGTACGGTGCATTATGGAAAGAAAGCTTTATGACTTTAATATTGTACCCATGTGGGGAATCGAACCCGGGTCCTCGGCGTGACGAGCGAACGCTTTATCCATTAGGCTACCCACCGCCCCTGGCATGGAAGAACCGGGTGTTCATAACCTTATTTAGAGCTGTACATGAAACACGCACCTGATTTATGAGCGTAAATATGATTAAAAAACAACAAGAAATATATGTATCTTTTGTCAACATTCACCGAGCATGGCGGTATCTCGTATTGCTGACGCCCCAGTTGGTGGTGACACGCACGTAACTATACAGATTACGGTGCCACACAGATAAAGACAAGCCAAGACGTCTTATCACCAATCTTATGTCACATAATAAGTCTGCAACACAAGGTAGAATTCAACGCACGCATGAACTGTGCAGGTGCGCGCTGGCTCACAGGGAATAACAGTACATGACCTCCGTCTGTTTATCGCGGGACTATTGACTAAACCAGTGAGCTCCGAAGGCGTAAGGCACGATCTGTATTACGCTGGAAGATTTGAATGTGTCTGTAACAATCAGCAGAACGATGGTGTCTAGTATCTGTGATGGAACCACACGAAGCAGGTGTATCCAGTCACGACAACGTTGCATGGACGGTGTCAGGGTGTAGAATGTCGTGAAGTACATGGGAGGGAGTTGGTGCCGTGAGTGTTCTGCTAAATCCCCAAATGCATCGGACATGTTCTGTTATTTTCTAATCTTAGTTCATTTCCTTCAAATGAATCGGGAGAGTCATACATGCAACGAATTTCAACGAACGTGAAGTGTAACTGTGTTGGTAGCAAGAGGTGTTGGACCAAGAATTGCAAATGCTTTAAGAACAATCTTCTGTGTAAGAGCCGGTGTCATTCAAGTCTCAAACAAGTAATGTACACGATATGCAAAACTCTATGTTGAAACTGGATAAAAAAAGTGGTCACTTTATTTTTTGTGTTTCTTTTTTTAACTTAAATGATTTAGCCATTTGGTCAAATGAGAATTTTAGTCTTTTGACTGACTGAGTATGGTTTTACGCCGCTTTTAGCAATATTCCCGCAACATCACGGCGGGGGACACCAGAAATGGGCTTCACACATTGTACCCATGTGGGGATTCGAACACGGGTCTTCGGCGTGACGAGCCAACGCTTTAACCAATAGGCTACCCCACCGCCCTAGTCATGTGACTAAATGACTGGTTTGCCGGTAACATATATACGGGATGTGTTCCGTGTTCCACACAATAATAGCTTTCCAAATCATTTCCAGAGAAGGAAAGAAGAAGGAAGTGTATCAAACGCGAATACACCGTAAAGCACCCTGGCAGAAACATTGCCACCCAAGGGACAACTGTCCTCTAGACATTCACTGAACCGGCGCATAAACAGCAACCAGCTGTTCTAGTGCTGCCGGCTGATATAGCAATCGGGATGGCCCTTTCATCTTTCGACAAAAAACATTTTCCTTGCTAAAAAAACTATCACTTTAGATCAGTATGAATCAACAATATATAATTCAAAATTCATATTCATTCTTAAATACCTCGTGAAGCTCAGCATTACAACTGCTAATATTTAGAAATCCTTGCTTGTCAGAGGCCAGCTATAACGGGATCGGATGGTCAGGCTCGCTTGGTTCATGCATGTCATCGTATCCCAATGGCGTAGGTTGGTGCCCACAGTATACCAATCACTGGGTAGCCAGGGCCATACGCGATTAATCGATGATCGCCAGCATACAGTTGAAATATTGATTGGTGCGGCAGAAGTGAGTGAATGTGGTTTTACGCCGCTTTTAGCAATATTCCAGCAATATCGCGGCGGGGGGACACTAGAAATAAGCTTCACACATTGTACCCATGTCTGGAATCGAACCCGGGTCTTCGCCGTGAAGAGCCAACGCTTTAATCACTAGGCTACCTCACCGCCCCGCGGCAGTAAAGAACACACACGCGCTCACGCACGGACACACACACACGCACGGACGGACGGACGGACACACAAACACATACGTATACCGTGATATCGGGGAGGTGTCTGGCTGGGGAATATGGTTACATGGTGTCTATTTTTCTCTTCCTTTCTGTTATTGATTCCGTCTATGACGACGACACTGATGCTTGTCAACCTCCCCGACTACATCCCCCGCTCTGACAGCGTGGGTGGATGCCACGTTCATCATCTCGTGTTGAATATCTTCAAAACAAAGTCAACTATCATAACTAACACCTGCGTGATTCCTTTCTCCAACATCAGATACGTGTCTGTCAAGTCCCCGCGGCAAGCAGCACGAGTTAATGGGCTCCATTGTTTCCGGTTAATGATGACGATCTTTGATATGCGAATTTTCTAAAGGTCTTAATGTAGAAAATTTCCATTTGATGGATGCTTCAGCGTTATAAAGCTGTTTTAACATATTTGACATTTGCTTCTAGGGTCTTTGGTCTCCCATGTCTTAGAAATGGTAATTTAATGTATACATACGTATTTTCCGCATTTAATGATGGCATATGTTATTGATCATCTGACATCTCGTGCTGTAAAATCAGTGGTTACTTTTAGCTTGTACTGTCTCTATTTACATTGTATTAAGTGCATTTACAGCTTTTGAAAGGTAGCAACTCCGATACAAGTAATTAACACCAATACCAAACTATGTGTACAGTGGTCAGCTCACTGTTATACCCTGAACAAGTTGTGTCTTCCTCCATGAACAAAATTGAACTTCCTCCACGAACAACGTTGGTCTTCCTCCATGTACCGCCTTGCAATCCTGCTACCTCCAGCAGGAAGAGTTAGTGAGTGAGAGTTAAGGCAAACGCCACAAAGAGTACTATCTCAGTTGGGCCGACTAGTCAAATTTGGTTTGTAAATCCTAAAGTGAAATAAAATATTTGCAGTTTAGTGTGAGAACAAACTAAATATATTCCCAGAATTTCAAATGGTCAGTGTGAAACCAAGTGGGTATTTGGGGGGGTCGAGGTGGCTCCATGTTTGTATTGGGACTGAACTTTGGATCCGATGTGGATTGGGTGGTCACAATGTATGATCTAGTTCAGCTGAGTGTGTCAAATTGTACCTCGACAGTGTGCAACTTATAACCCAAAATCCAGATAATGGAATTATAGGAATGTTGCACCAGACACCATCCACTCACTCACTCACCACCCTGTTGTATGTGGAGGGACCTCATGCTGGGCCACGTGTCTGTAAGCATACAACGTTGAACGCCTAATGTATATGTCATTACAACGCCCAGGTCACAAATCAGTTGAAGGTAATCAACGTTGGTCACGGAGAGTCTTTGGATGGGTGAACGTGTTTGGCAACTTTGCTTCTGAGAGTTTTTAGTCCTTCCCAACAACAATGCACACAAGACACATGTGGTCTCAACCTAAGCAAGTTTGTTAAAACATTCCCTCTGTTCACCCAGCAGTGACTGGGTACCCGGTTGGATAAGATGACTCTGAACCTTCTGGAGCCTCACAGGATCTTTGGATCGCAAAGATCAAGCAACAATCGGAGCCTCACGGGAGGTCAGCCATCATCATCATTGACCAGTATTTGACAAATAGATCATATTACCGTCTGTGTAAAAGCTCACAATTCAAGAGAGAGGAATGGGTCAGTGAGTATGGTGTAACGCCGCTTCTAGCAATATTCCAGCAACATCACGGCGGGGACACCAGAAATGGGCTTCACACATTGTACCCATGTGGGGAATCGAGCCTGGGTCTTTAGCGTGGCGAGCAACCGCTTTAACCATTAAGCTACTCCATCGCCCCTCAACAGATAGGAACAAAGGTGAACAAAATCATTTATGTACATGATTTATGAAAATAACTACAGCATTGATTTAACCCCACTCCAGGAAATGATCATGGAGATGTTTCCGGTCAAGAGGTGGTAGGCATGGTCAAGCTCTCGAGACTGTCCATCGCAGCGTCCACATCGGGAGGAGGTGGAGCGTCCACAGTCATCTGAAACAGTGAAGTATATTTCTGGATGCTTGCACAACAAATTTCACACGGGGTGATGCTTGGACTAGGTAAACCTGTCTGATATGCGATCGCAATTCGCCATACAGAGTTGCGTCCCTTTAACACACCAGAAACCTATAATTGGGATACGAATCCCGGTTCGACCATGTTATTATTTTTTCTATGTCTGTCGGCGCAATACGAGTGTTCGTTAAGTCCAACCAAAGAGGTAAATGTCTGTGACCTGCATCACTTCGGAATTTCTTCCCCCATTAAGCAGACACGCCGTGGTGTAACTGGAATACACTGCTACATAGTAGTAATATATTGTATCTGCATGAGTGAGTGTAGTTTTACACCGCTTTTAGCAATATTCCAGCAATATCACGACGGGGACACCAGAAGTGGGCTTCACACATTGTGCCCATGTGGGGATTCGAACTCGGTATTCGGCGTGACGAGCTAACGCTTTAACCACTAGCCTACCCCACCGCCCCAGTATCAGCATGAGAGACTATCACATACAATAATGATGAACACCCACCGGTTTCGCCCCTGTCTGCCTGACAGACTTCTGTTTCTTCTCCTTCCCCGATAACACCACTTTATGCAGCTCGCTAAACTCTTTGTCGGCGCTGGCCGTTTTCGTCTTGTTGTGGAAATTCATCTGAAAACATGAAAATGACATTTGTATACTTTTGCTACTTGACTTACTAACTTAGCATGTGTGGTAATGGTAGGTAGCATAGCAACTGTGTGTTACTTCCATAAGCACCGTCATCCATGAAGGCCAACTTCCAATACAGGCCAGTGAGGCAACTTGAGGATCCAGTCTTAGAATAACCAAGTCACCATGAACTCTAACCATCACAAACCAGAACCATCTAGTAATGTTTAATCATCTAGCATATCAGCTGATGAAACAAACACAACAAGTTTCAAATGAACGTTCCTTTACGTCCTTGAATCGCATTTGGAAGAAGTACACACAAAGGGGGAAATTTGTGGATGCCATCTTCTGTAACAACTTCTCTTGTGATGAACTCGACGTATTCTTACTCCTTCGCCATATGAATGAAAGCTAGGAAGCAGAGGATATCCTCCGACACGTCGTCTCCATACAGATGTTGACATCCATAAATGTCCCCTTCACATTCCTATATAACAATGACCCAACAACTCCTACCCCGACTCTATCAGACCCTACCGTTTGTCCCTGCAACCTCTAGACTACTTCATCATCTCACCTTTTTCAAATTGGTCGAGATTGTTTTTGTCTTTGCTTTCTTGACACCGGCCATTTTGTGTGAAATTGACTCCTTCCGTACACCATGGCTGATCTTGTTCTTCTTCCCCATGTTGAATCAGGTACCCGACAGCAGCTCCCGGCCCCTGACAGACGGAGAGACAGTTGACACTATTATTCATACAGAAACATATCATACTTAGTTAAATGCGATTTATGTGCAAAATGTAAATGTTGCCCACATCTACACTGATGTTAGTGATATAGTTTTCATTAATTCCCATAGACAACATAATGTTTGCTAACTGACATGATCGCTGCATATGTTTCAGTGGCCTCCTATGAACTCATTGCTGTAAAGAATTGAAAAATACGTCACAAACGATGTCAGCTTACGTTGTTCAAGCAGAGACAACAGAGCTGATGTCTCCACAGGGGATCACGAAATACATTTGTTTACTGATTTGTAGAAAAAAGACCGGTAATGCAAACACATCGAAATACATACAATGAACCTTCCTGAATCGGCATAACGGATTTTCTTTAACTAATGAACATTGGTCAAAATTGCGAAATGAACTGTCTCTGAACACATACTGCCTTAATTTCTCGCATCTTGTAAAATATTCCTTAAGAATTGTACTCTCAAGTTCTTTAAGGGCTAGATCTGCCACGGACCACAAGCACAGAGATATCAACGTGATTCGGGTCTGAGTAAACCTACAAGTACGGGTATGGACCACAAGCACAGAGATATCAACGTGATTCGGGTCCGAGTAAACCTACAAGTACGGGTATGGACCACAAGCACACAGATATCAACGTAGGTATCAACGTAGGTTTACTCGGGTCTGAGTAAACCTACGACTACGGGTATGGTGCTGACATACGCAGTAACATAATTATGGAGAACTCGAGTTCCAACATAAGGCATACGAATATACCAAGTTTGCCAATGAAGTCTCCCGCCATAGACTGCAGACCCTTGAAGTGCCGGGTGAGATTTGCTCTTCAACAACCCCTGCTTGTCGTAAGAGGCGACAAACGGGATTGACTGATACACGTCGTCGTACACCAGTTGCGTCGATCGATGCTCATGATGTCTATCACTGAATTGTCTGGTCCAGACGCCATAATTTACAGACAGCCCTGACTTAGCTGGAACATTGCTGGGGGAGGCGTGAAACAACAAACAAACAATCCATAGACGCTACTAAACTTTCCTTTATGACGGACAGGAGTATGAACAAAATATTTATGAACATATTTCCCCATCTTAACAAGGAGACTAATATCTGGTTTTACACGTTTAGTGGGTTCACTGCGTAGAGCCGTGGTGTGTGGTCAACGACGCAGTTGGGGTCAAAGGAGATTTTAATGACAGAGCTACAACGGTATAGTGATTACGCCGTGGACAGGAGGCTGGCTAGACTAACGTTTAGTCCCTGAATACATATAATTGTGACAGTAGCAAATAAACCCATTTAAATTGAAAAGAAGCCCAAGTGAGACCAGAGATCTGAGGAAATCTAGACTTGCTTCATTTAGGGCTTTAGCATTGCAGGGAGGGCTAAGCATTGGGGAAAATAATATGGTTCAGGGACTGTGAGACAGACTAGAGGCTGGCGGATGCAGGCTGATGTGAGGATGTGTGGGTGGGGAAAGAGAGAATGGCAAAGGTAATAATTGCCTGTTGCTTCTGCAAACAGAACAAAACACCTACATGGAGAAATTGGAGTACACCTCTACAACATTAAAAACTCCATCAAAACAGTACTGATAAGTGATCGTTCACCCCCCACACATTAAACGTTATTAAAGGTTATAAGAAGTTTGCCGTTATGATAAATATGAGATTGATACAATGCAGGAACATCCCTACTGATGTGTCAAAAACGCAGTCATGTGAAACGTACTTGAAATTATGGATATTAATGTTTGGGTTTATGTATGTTTGTTTGATTTGTCCGTGCACCGTACAAAACAGGAACTTGCACCCAGGTCCCTTTCTGCTGACTAGCTCAAATAACGTAAGTAAAGAAGTAAAATAGAGTAATATGTTCCTGATCAGAAAATTATTACAAAAATGTCCTTTCTCGAAAACATGGCGAAACCAACGAATAAATTCTTATAAGTCGCCTTTGTAGAGAGGTGCCAATGAGATCGGGTGATAAGGCTTGGTGACTTGATTAATATAAGTCGCTGTATAACAAATGCGAAGACTGATGATGCAGTTAATCACTTGATTGACTGGTCCAGGCTCGCTTATTTACAGAATGCCTTTAAAAGCTGGGATTTTGAGAAGAGCGGCGTTTAGCAATAAAAATACCCCCGAAGCCCCAAAAGTAGAATATGTCGCGCCTGACGGGCAGTTGATTTTTACTAGTTCTTGATGTGTGCGCATGCGCGAGTGTCTGAGATGGAAACCAACGACTTTCGCAGTTTTGACACTAAAACAAACTTTGTTTTCCACATTACTTTATAAAACCCAAACGTCCGTCTGTAAATCCACATATTTCTGGATAGCCTTTGGCAAGTGTAGTTAAACAACCCGCATTACATGAACGAGAGGAAATGATAGGATAATGCCGGACACGCTCCAGGAGCACAAACCAAAGGTACACAAAAAATACTTTAAAAATCTCAGTCAGCCTTTCCTAGCCTCGCATGAAGAATATTTACGACAGTTTTCTGTTACGAACAGCTTAAAGCATTAAAAATAGGATCACAACAACAACAACAATGAATATATATATTGCAGCACACACACTCACATACGCAGGCACGCACGCACGCTCGCACCCATACATACACACAGATAAATGTATACAAAAATTAAATATCCAAATATAACAGTTCTGTATCACTTGACCCTTCTCCCCATTCCCCAAAGCTTCAGGACCTTTCCCCAAAGGAGTCATGGACCAGAAAATGGCTCAGGGAATAATGTGACAACGATGTTACCTACATAATATTACCCTTCAGCTGTCAGAGCTGGGACAAAACGTGTTCAGTGTGCCGGGAGAGGCCTGACAAGCAATGATGTGGTTTGGGTACACTCCCGACACACAGGGAATATACCTGTCCCTGTCACAAGGGACGGGGGGTCACTGAATCCAGGCGGGATGTCGCCATTGTTGGGGGTAAGGGCTAAAGACGTGGATTATTATCCCAGCAGGGTGATCTGTGATGAGGACCGTCAAACGGCGAGAGGGACAGGTGTCACGATATCATCACGAGTTCATCACTGCATGCATTGACCGACATTATTGAAGGGAATTCAAGCTGGCGTGATTAAGTTTGCTTTTAATAGCATTGCTTTGAACAGAATGCCAGTAATATCATGGCGTGTCGACTTCACGTGGGAGGAAGCCTGAAGTGACGACTTCACGTGGGAGGGAAGCCTGAAGTGACGACTTCGGGTGGGAGGGATGCCTGAAGTGACGACTTCACGTGGGAGGGATGCCTGAAGTGACGACTTCACGTGGGAGGGAAGCCTGAAGTGACGACTTCACGTGGTAGGGAAGCCTGAAGTGACGACTTCACGTGGGAGGGATGCCTGAAGTGACGACTTCATGTGGGAGGATGCCTTAAGTGACGACTTCACGTGGGAGGGAAGCCTTAAGGGACGACTTCACGAGGGAGGGAAGCCTGAAGTGTCGACTTCACGTGGGAGGGAAGCCTGAAGTGACGACTTCACGTGGGAGGGATGCCTGAAGTGACCACTTCACGTGGGAGGGAAGCCTGAAGTGACGACTTCACGTGGGAGGGAAGCCTGAAGTGACGACTTCACGTGGGTGGGAAGCCTGAAGTGACGACTTCACCTGGGAGGGATGCCTGAAGTGACGACGGTCTGAGATGTTTACCACTTTGGTGAAACCCACGATCTAGGGTATGGTGCAGAGAAACCTGAGAACATAATGGGGGCGAACTGGGATTCGAACCGACAATCATAGGTTTCTGGTGTACCCAAGGGATGCAACTCTGAGAATTACAGCTCCTCTGACGGCTGGGCCAATCATAGGTTTCTGGTGTACCCAAGGGACGCAACTCTGAGAATTACAGCTCCTCTGACGGCTGGGCCAATCATAGGTTTCTGGTGTACCCAAGGGACGCAACTCTGAGAATTACAGCTCCTCAAACGGCTGGGCCATCTATGCCCCTTTTGAGGCGAAGTGTAACGTGAATGTGTAACCGTTTCGAATAGCAGGAAATTTATATCAGCCAATCTCTGCCAGTAGAGACGCATGTAACATTGCGTGCGTGAGTATAGTTTTACGTCGCTTAGAGTAATATTCCTGCAATAGGCTTGGGATTCAATGAATTGGCTTCGCACATCCTGACACCTGCACCAGGAACCAATGAAGGCCAGAAGAAAGAGGGCCACTGTGATGAATACTATAATGTACTCAGAACCTCAAAAAGGATTCGTGCACCTCCGATATCTTATGGGGTCGGTGGGGTACCCCAGTTGTTAAAGCATTCGCTCGTCAACGCCGAACGTCCGGGTTCGATTCCCCGCATAGGTACAATGTGTGAAGCCTATTTCTGGTGTCTCCCGCCGTGATGTTGCTGGAACATTGGTAAAAGTGGCGTAAAACTAGACTCACTCACTCACTCTGTGGCGTGGTGGATGTGGTGACTCGATCAGCTGGCCGCATCATAAAACATCGTTAAATGATGTTACTTGTTGTTGCCCTGGAGAGTGCTCGACAGTTTGGGGATAAAACAGGTTCGACTAGGACTCAATATACAGTAACTACGCTTGTAACGAACACGCTTGTACCGAACTGACGGACACAACAAACTGTCTCTTTTGATACAGGCCACGAGCTACATGTCAGTCGTCTCTGCGTAGACGGATCTACGATTACCACCAACAAATATTTATGGTCACTTTGAGTTCGTTATAACCGAAGTTTACTGTAGTGTGTCTGAAATGGGTACCCGACCGCGTCATACCAAAAGACGTTAAAATATGGTACTTGTTGGTCCCTGCCTGGCGCTCGGCATTAATGGGTACAACAAGGACTGGTCGGCTCGGAGTCAGTATAATGTGTCTGAGTGGGGTATTCATGCTTCACTGTGGTATGGTATCTCAGTGGGCTAGCACTATAAAACCAGCTTCAGTCTGGGCTAGTACAAGCAGCCGCACATACACATACACACGCATGCACGTCGTCATATGAGCGAAATATTCTCAAGCACGACGTAAAACTCAATTTCACCTCACCTCACCTCACCTCACCTCACCTCACCTCACCTGAACTGGGTAACTGCAGCAATATACAGTTGTTTTTAATCACTATACAGATAATGACCTCATCTGATATCACTTTGGGAGGTGGGGTAGCCTAATGGTTAAAGCGTCCGCTCGTCAAGGTGAAGACCCGGGTTCGATTCCCCACGTGGGTACAATGTGTGAAGCCCATTTCTGGTGTCCCCCACTAACGGGATCGGGTGGTCTGGCTCGCTGGCTTGGTTGACACATGTCATCGGTTCCCAATAGCGCAGATCGATGCTCATGCTGTTGATCACTGGATTGTCTGGTCCAGACTCGATTATTTACAGACCGCCGCCATATAGCTGGAATATTGCTAAACTCACTCAGTCACTCTGGCGTCCCCCGTTGTGATATTGCTGAAATATTGCTAAAAGCGGCTTAAACCTAAACTCACTCACTGATAGCACTTTGCATACTTATTGTCACAACCAATTCCTCTCATGTCTTATTATCAACAAATTCTTACAACGAAACAACACATATGAACACCAATTTTGTGTGGGCGATTTCATAACAGTGCCATGACAATTGCCCATACAACCCGGGTCTCATGTTCTCAGTAATGGTGAAGCTATACTGTCCGTGTATACGAAGTGGGCGTGTGTGTAAAGCCTACGGCTAGCTTCCCCCGCAATAATATTGCTGAAAACTCGAAATAATTCGTAACGCTCAACCGTTTTGGGAATAAGTGCGTAGCAACATCTCCACAGGTACATGTTTCGCATTCCCCTCATTTTATTGTTAATGTCGTTACCTGTGAAGATTCAGGTTAGAATTGGTCTTCAGCAACCATGCTCTTCGTAAGAGTAGACCAGCGGTATCGGGTGGTCAGGCTCGCGGACTTGGATGGCACAAGTCCCAATTGCGCAGATCAATACTCATGCTGTTGATCACTGGGTTGTCTGGTCCAGATTCGATTATTTACAAACCCGCGCCATACAACATACATACAAAACGTTTTCATTAGAAAATACGCTCTCAGTACCAATACTACCCCAGTAAGAATTCAGTGTCATTCAATGCGTAGAGTCAAGTGCATGACGTATTTTGTACTTGTATGTCTTCAAAAGCAATCATGTCTAATGTGGAACACAGTTCAATGAGAAACACGAGACCCAGGTATCTGTAACCATATTCCACCTCCCACGTCTACACGGAAACAGAATACACTCACGCGGTTAACACTCACGTCAAAGAAAAACCCTACCATTACACGGGTGACTGAGTTAGTTTGCTTGGCTGCCGTTTAACATTGCACTTAATGTTCCAACAACATGACGGCGATGACTCAATCCGGTGATTGATATCATGAGCATCCAATCACGCCATCGGGGTACGATCGAGGTACCGATGTATATACTACTCAAAACGTATTGTCGCATGAGGGCAGTGGGTAGCCTAGTGTTTAAAGAGTTCACTAGTCACGCCGAAGACCCGGTTCGATTCACCACATGGTTACGATGTGTGAAGCCCATTTCTGGTGTCTCGATGGAATTTTGCTTACTCACTCACTCACTCGCATGACAGAGTAAGGGTAGTAATATGCCTTTTGTTGTTTACCGCAGCACTCGGTGATATTACAGCTATAAGACTGGTGCCTGCAAATGATCGAATCTGGGCTCCATTTCACAAAGCGATCGCAGCGCTAAGGTGACCGTAACTCCCACACTTTAACATAGACTTACGACTAGAACTGCGCAATATAACCGGTTTAGCGGTATTTACCGGTTCAGACATGAAAACGATACGTATTGCGATATGCTGATAGAAAACCGGTATTTTGACATGCATTCGGAAAACGTCGTAACACTCGGAAATCTTCATATATTTCCTTGTTTCATTTGTGCCAAAAATTATTCACATTTTTATTTTATCATGATAACAAATTGTTAATAAAGCTTAATCAAGCATAGTGATTTCGTTGTGTTTTTGCTCTATAAATCAAGCAGTAACTCGATTATGAGTAGTTTTTTGTTTAAAAAAAAATACTTAATGCAGTATATTGCAATGCATATCGCAATACATGCTTTCGCATCGCAATATATCGCAATATGAATATTCTCTGCAATACCCACCCCTACTTACGACAGTCGTAGCGCTACGATCGCTTTGTGAAACACGTACCTGGTCAATCCATTGATTGATATTACGACCAACGATCCAACATCCGGGTACGATGTCACGCAACCAACCAAGTCACGCAGCCGGACCACCCGATCCTTTTGTCTTATCTCAAGGCTACGGCCATTTCATATCGTAATGTCTGTCTGACCGTTGTAGTGAGTCGCTTACCACTGTTCAGTTGTGTCGGAAGAACTTGATTCCCATCCAGTTGAGGAAGATACAGAAGACGGCGACGATGATGGTGCTCGGTATCAGCAGGATGTAGTACACGACGTCCCCGTCCATACACGCCTGCAACAACACATAGCTTTTTCTGAACAAGAACGAGTGAGTGAGTGGGTGAATGGAATAGGTCTATCCTCGCTCTGACGTCTATAGGTTTTATCATGGTGTCTATCAGATGGGCAACGTCGTACACCACCTACAAGATAACAACATGAACTGTTGATCAGATGGACAACATCGTACACCACCCACATGAACTGTTTATCTGATGGTCAATATCTTTCACCACCCACATGATAACAACATGAACTGTTTATCAGATGGACAATATCGTACACCACCCAAATGATAACAACATGAACTGTTTATCAGATGGACAACATCGTACACCACCCACATGAACTGTTTATCTGATGGTCAATATCGTACACTACCCACTCGATAACATCATGGGTTTATCAGATGGTCAATATCGTACACTACCCATATGTTAACAACATGAACGGTTTATCAGAAGGGGCGGCGGGGTATCCTAATGGTTAAAGCGTTGGCTCGTCACGCCGAAGTCCCGGGTTCGAATCCCCACATGGGTACAATGTGTGAAGCCCATTTCTGGTGTCCCCCGCCGTGATGTTGCTGGAATATTGCTAAAAGCGGCGTAAAACCAAACTCAGTCAGTCAGTCAGTTTATCAGATGGTCAGTATCGTACACCCAAATCTCGATAACAACATGAACGGTTTATCAGATGGTCAGTATCGCACACCAAAATCTCGATAACAACATGAACGGTTTATCAGATGGTCAATATCGCACACTACTCACATTACAAAAATCCTAACTGACTACAGTGAGTGATTATCAAAGGAGTGAGTGAGTTTTGTTTTACGCCGCTTTAAGGAATATTCCAGCAATATCACGGCGGGGGACATCAGAAGAGGGCTGTGTGAATCGAACCCGAGTCTTCGGTGTGACGAGGGAACGCTTTAGCAACTTGGCTACCCTACATCCCAAACTGGCTACAAGATGAGCTACATCGGACACCGTCCTTACAACACAAATACAATCACCTGTAAAAACACTGTCACAAAATACAGTTTCTGCATGGTTTCTCTAAAACCAGACTTAAATACAACTCGGCAAACCCTGTCCCGAAACAAGAGCAGATTTGTGGCGGGTCCAGATCTTAATTTGTTTTCCCTCTAAGCCAGCAGATTAACACTTTGACGAGATGTTGTTAGAATAAACATTGAACGTGTCACCGACGTTACAATCAATAACACCTCAATTACCACGTGTAATCCATGTGCAGTTGTCTGCAAGCCAAAGCCAGGTAAAAAAGACAGAAGCTGCCTATCTATCTTTATAGCATCGTGTTCCACGCCAACACCAACAGCTCACTGTCTCAAAACAGAAGAAGGGTCATATTATCCCAACACAATAAACCACCCTTAAAACTAACAACAGACGTACAGCAGGTAAACAAAACCGATCCTCACTGCACCGGAAGATTAGCACCGATTATCTCCCCTGACACGGAGCGCACAACATCAGTCGGGAGACGCCATTGAGGATCATGTGACACTACCCAAGGTGTTCGTTCATCCCTAGGTGGGTGACTAGAGGTGGAGGAGCGGGATGTAGTTTCCGTTCTGCAGGCGAACATGTAGCCGTCCTGCTAGAACACACCAAAGCGACTCGCGTGACTTGAACAAATACATTTGAACTTTAAGGTCGAGCTTAGACCCTTACTGAGAGAGCTACACACGTGACTAAACATGGATGCCGGTGTGTTTGTGAAGGGTCAGCAAGTCGGGGTTATTTGGTTGTCCCGCCAGGTCCTCGTAAAGGCTGTACAGGTCCGTACAGCGACACCATGGTGTACGGTGAAAGGCACACCGTTTCTGGGATTCCAGGCTAAGTCGCAACAATTGGTCCTTAGCATTCCGTGTTGGTCGATTTATTGCATCGGGTGGTCAGGCCCGGCTATCTAATCCAAGTTGTGTCAAGGTAACCCGACGGTATGGATCGTTGTTCATAATATCGATCACTGGATTGACTGGTCCAGACTCGAAATGACTTGAATATTGCTGAGGCGGTGATACACATCAAACACATATCAACATATCACATATACAACGGGGTAGCCTAGTGGTCAAAGCTTTCGCTCGTGACGCCCAAACCCCGGGTTCGATTCCCCACATGGAAACAATTAGACTAATGCTTAGTCTCTGAATATATATATAATTTTGATAGTAACAAACAAGCCCATTTAAATTGAAAAGGAGCCCCAAGGAGACCAGAGCTTCAGAACCTGAATCTGAGGAAATCTAGCCTTGCTTTATTTAGGGCTTGAGCACTGCAGAGAGAGCTTGGCAGTGGGGAAAATAATGTGGTTCAGGGACTGTGAGACAGACTAGGAAACAATGTGTGAAGCCCATTTCTGGTATCCCCGTCGAGATATTGCTGGCATATTGCTAAAAGCGGTATAAAACCTCACTTACTCAAATAAACAAAATCCGATCCTTCACGAAGTACGTTTGAATACACAGCAAGGTGCTAAAAGAGATCGACATAACCTCGAATAGGTCCCTGTGACAAGCATAAACTTGTCTTTCGATAACACTGGACAACTGAAGTCAGATAAATAATCCCGTGAATCGAGGACCTGAGAACCTCTTGTATAGTTCAATTCATATCATGTACGCTTGAAAACCGCAACACAACAAAAGCAATTCTACAACTGTCAGTGGAGGCATTCTTCCTTGTATACAGAGTGGGACGCATTTGCAATTCCGTTTCAGATCGACCTACTACCAATATGTATTCAATGAATTTCGTTCAGGAAACGCGCTGTATGTTGGCCATTGATAGTTTGAAACTCACGAGGCCGACCGACTTACTACACTGTCTTCGTGTGTACAAACCCCACACCATTTTCTGTCTGAATGAAACACGGCGGGAAGCTGATAATGTTCCGCCATTAGTGCTGAACGTCGGCCAAAAAAAATGACATTACTCTTAATAGCCCTGGTGTGTTTTCAGATAATATATTTCAGATGAAATAAATGTGATACAAACGTATTAAGCATACGGTGCACACATTACACATATTCCCAAATGAATAGATATCTGTACCATGGTTATGTCCTGTCTGTACTTCGGGGCAAAAAAAATCCCCAGTGCCAACGAAAGTCTCCCCGACAGACGCTACCCATATTTGTCTCCTCAGGGTTTTCCGGGCCAGAATAGATACCCGGGGCTCCTGTTATTCTCAACATGGTACCCGTGAAGGTCCGGGTTAGAATGAACCTTCAGTAACCCATGCTTGTTGTAAGAGGCTACTAACGGGATCGGTCAGGCTCGCTGACTTGGTTGACACATGTCATCGGTTCCCAATTGCGCAGATCGATGCTCATGCTGTTGATCCCTGGATTGTCTGGTCCAGACTCGATTATTTACAGACCGCCGCCATATAGCTGGAATATTGCTGAGTGCGGCGTAAAACTAAACTCACTCACTCACTCTCAGCATGATTATTCCGGGCCTGCAAAGAAAGTTTAATCCGGATACATTCCACGGAGTCGCTCCGGAAACGACAAACAAGGACAGATGGGCGGACGGACAAACTGATCGTTACATTTTCCCGTATTTCAAATCGGGGAGTACTGAATCGTCTAAAGTCACTTCTTCGAGTGAAGATACACCTTATACACAGACTCACACAATGTTATTTGTATTCAGATGCATACACGTGCAAAGTAACAGTCGGTTAATGATCTCTATTGATAATCATTGAGATATACAGTAGATAATCATTGTGATACAGATATAAGATCACCGTAATTTTATACTTTAATAGCCTAACGATAGACTAAGTCGCATCACCAACACCGCTCCGTTGAACGAACGTTAAATTGTATAATTACCATTCCAGGTACACAGTTGATAAATCGACTCCGTGTTCCCCCAACACCAAGAAAGATGAACCGTTTTCTCTTACATGTTTTGTTCGTAACCAGAGGAAATATAGCTCACTCACAGTGCAGACAAACAGATCGTTTTGGTCAGGTCAAAGGTTATCCTAGCTGAAGGAGCTAGTGTGTTGTTTGTGAAGGCCTCCGTATGATGATAACATGGGACGCGGAACCTCCTTTCACGCTCCCAGATACCTGACAGTGTCAGGGCAGGGGGAGATAACCCATATGGGGTTTGGAATGCAGGGTCTGTGACCCCTTTGTTCTTTTGAAACGAGAAGGAACACTGCAATATCTAAGCTGGTTATTTATCATGCACACTGGTTCGAACCTTGACATCATGCGTGACAAGCGAACACGATAACCACTGGACTAACTGCTGGTCTTCACTGTGAGAAAGGCCACACTCTACTATGACTAAGATTTCAGCAGCATCTAACAATATCCTAAACGGTCTCTGACAACACAATTTGATGTGAGGAATTGTGTCCCTTGTGTTTGCAGGATCCACTGATCTTGAGCTTACAGGTTTGCCTGCTTTAAGCAAATAAACACTTAACTTGCTCATCTCAAATGAATCTAAAAGTAATATTCAAATTTACAAGTTCCAAGCCATGATGCACTGGTAATATCGAAGTTAGTGAGAGACATCCCGCAAGTAAAATGTGTTGCATGTAAAAAACACCCCAATATAAATAAACCCCACTAAAAAGTCTTGAAACACACTAATCGATCAATGCAACGATAACAAACGGAAGCCAAGAGTGGTTGGTTTTGCTTTATCGCCGCTTTGAGGTTTCTATAAAATTCCCGTTCTTTTCGCGGTGTGTCTGTTTAACGTAGGAGGAAACCCCGAAGTGGCACAGGTTTCGTATGTTTACCACTTTGGTTAAACACACAAACACGAACATGGTGCTGACAATATATCCCGGGTGGTCCGGCATTCGAACCCACGATCTAAGATTCCTGGTTGGCTCAAGGGACGCAACTCTGTACAGCGATTTGTTGCGCCTTGTACCCCCTAAAGCCAGGAACTGTAAACATCAGCAGATCGGTACCGACCGAAATGTTGATGACGCATTCTTGAAATTGTGATCATGACTTTAAACATAAAAGATTCTTAACAAGAGTAAATCAAACTAAAAATCCTGAAATATCTTATATATCACGTACACCAAAATCACAAGAATACGCCGCGCAATCAGGCAGAAGTCGGACATTTTGCATGGGCGATGGTGTCGTTCGAGTTACAGCGCATATCCGCATATTACATTGCCAGAAATAGACGGTTCATCTTGTCATGTATAATGACAAACATCGCACGTGGAGAAAGCATTCCTGGTCTTTCATTCGTGTGGAGACTTGGCCATATATGGTATTGGAAGCCCCGTCGTAAATGACGCGCTGATTGACATGGTGTCCTATCGCAATATTCTTTCAGCATCTGTTTCATCTTTCGCAAGAAGAATTTTTGAACACGCGGTGTGGGTTTTTTTAATTTAAGATGTGGATCTGGATTTGAAGTGGGTGATCGATGGCCCTCCCGTTTGAACATTGCGCCGGGTTTGCCTGGTCCAGAATCCACCATTCACCGGCCTCCATGGTATCGCTGGAATACTGTTTGCTGAGGCGTTTAACAAAATGGACACACTCTCAAAGAGCTTGGAGATTGTGCCACACATGATCTGCAGTGGACAGTGTGTGGACAGTCAGGTTTGTTTTCAAAAATATTCCAACAATATCACAGATGGGGACACCAGAAATTGGCGCCACACATTGCACCCATGTAGGGAATCGAACCCGGGTCTTTGGCGTGACGGGTAAACGCTTTAACCACTAGGCTACCCCACCGCCCCTAACACTGTGGGCAGGCGAAATCATGCATAGACTTCCACCTCTCGGAGTATGAACTGTAGAGAGATGCATAGGGGTGGTGGTGGTGGGGGGTGGGTTTGGTGGTGTGTGTGTGTGTGTGTGTGTGTGTGTGGGGTGTTTGGGGTGTGGGTGGGGTGTGTGTGTGTTTAGTTTCACGCCACACTCAGCAATATTCCAGCTATATAGTCTGAATATAATCGAGTCTGGACCAGACAATCCTGTGATCAACAGCATGAGCATCGATCTGCGCAAATGGGAACCGATGACTTGTGTCAACCAATTTAGAGAGCCTGACCACCCGATCCCGTTAGTCGCCCCTTACGACACATAGTCGCCTTTTTGTGGCAAGCAGGCCTGCTGAAGACCTATTCTACCCCGGATCTTCACGGGTCGGACATCGAAAGAGTTCAACCAAGCTCAAAAAATGGGAAAACTGAGAATGTGATCGGGGGATAACAACAAGTAACAGCCCGTAGATCACCTCGCCAAAACTAAGACTCTAAAATACCAAAGCGTTCGTTCATCTGAGGTGGAATGGGGTAGCCCAACCGTTAAAGCGTTCGCTCGCCACACCAAAACCAGTGGTTCGCTTCCCTGTTTGGATGAAGTCAGTGAATAAATTTTTTGACGTCCTCGCCATGATTTTGTTGGGATGTTGACAAAAACAGCGTAAAAAACGTATATTCACACTCATTCATTTCTAGCATCGTCGGCACATCCGACTTCATACGCGTCCCCCATATTTAATGTCTAGAAGCTTCCGGGGCACTATTATCCCCCATTATACGAACCTATCATACTGACTGCACTCCCTGAATACCCACCAACCTGGATTACAAGCATGTAACCGAATGATAATTATTATGTCTATCCTGGCATAAAAGCCCCAAAGCATCACAATGATCAAGGACCGCCTCCATGGTGTAGTGGTTAGAGCGTCCGCCCGGAGAGCGGAAGGTCGCGGGTTCGATCCCCGACCGCGTCATACCAAAAGACGTTAAAATATGGTACTTGTTGGTCCCTGCCTGGCGCTAGGCATTAATGGGTTCAACAAGGACTGGTCGGCTCGGAGTCAGTATAATGTGTCTGAATGGGGTATTCATGCTTCACTGCGGCATGGTACCTCAGTGAGCTAGCCCTATAAAACCAGCTTAATTCTGGGCTAGTACAAGCAGCCGCACATACACATACACACGCATGCAGGTCGTCATATGAGCGAAATATTCTCCAGCGCGACGTTAAACTCAATTTCACCTCACCTCACCTCACAATGATCAAGGTCTTCCTCATGTCTACTGCGTCACGTTTTAGCAGATTAAACATCAACAATATTCTGGTTTTATTAACGGGCCTTGGTACATCGTATCCTGATTCCAGTATTCCTACCCCACCCCCCGTTGTGAGACAGGGTCGCGTCTCTGCCCCGTGCCCCATACCGATGAACGCGCTACCCAGGGTGATTTACATTTAAGAGAGCTGAAAGCTACGACAGTTGGACAAGAACACTATCGTCCACTGTTGTACAAACGTCCCGCCAGACAGACACGGGGGATCCTCACTGGCGGTGTCACGCTCCATGGACGGCGGACAAGGCTCCATTTTGAACTCAATCTATGGGAACAACACAACAAATCCACATACGGCTGGATGGTATTCAGTTATTATATGCTGCATGAAAAGAAATAAGAGTGGGTCTTAAACATCAACTGTGAAACATCCCCCGTGGCGGGAGGGCACACCTCAATGCACTGCGATGTCAGCATTGAGAGTGTCACGTGACCCGCCGTTCACAAACTTGCACAATGGCGAGGAATTATCGGTTGCGTTTTGGGCTGTGTGCCAAACGACATGCACCGGCGTGCGATAAGGCAACACTGGTTTGTGATTTTCGGCTCACTCTAGATGAAGTATTTTGATGTTTTTAACAGTGTTGTGGATGCAAACATATAAATAGTATCTGTGCCGACCCTCCGCAAAGTGAAGTATATCAGCGTAGAATGAACAAGTGACGTCAAGCGCCCCACGTGGAAGTATTTCATATTCTCAGCAATGGCGAAACGTAAGCGTATTTATCAGGCTATGTAGCGACCCAGGGTGTCAGGACACGCCACCAACCAGCGATACCAGTCACACAGTGTCACATCGCATGACCCGAAGACGTGACCAACCGACAGCCCACACAGGCACTGTAACCAGGGGCGGTGGGGTAGCCTTGTGGTTAAAGCGTGCGCCCGTCACGCCGAAGACACCGGTTCGATTCCCAACATGGGTACAATGTGTGAAGCGTTTTTCTGGTGATATTGCTGGAATATTGCTAAAAGCGGCGTAAAACCTCCACATACCCATGGACATCTGCCTGGACAGACAGAACTCTCTCTCTCTTTCTCTCTCTCTCACACACACACACGATAGTTTCAAAATTTTGCTGTGCCTGAAAGTTACTAGCCCACAAATGAATTTAATAGCCCGAAATTTGAATGTAGACACGGGTTTCATCATTAAGCTGCTAATATGATGAACATTTTTGATAATGCTAATTCCATCATCCACCGTAATGTAATGTCAGAGAACTTGATACCACTACATCTCAGATCTCATCATACAACATTTCTCCCTCATCTAAGACACTAACTGAATATAATAGCTAAATAATGCCCACACATTTACCACAACGCCATAGGTTGATGGTGTCAAACGTGGGTGGTTAGAAAACATCCCCTGGCGAAAATAGTTCTGAAAGAACTACACACTACACACATGAAAATGTCCATATTTAAACGAAATTAGAAGCTTGGATAATTTCATGTTCGAATTTCGTGTTCTGTCAGCCAGGTACATGTAGCGTATCGCCAAAACGCTGCGCGGGACCAGGCTGTCTACCGTGGGCTAGTTCACCTGTGTCGGCCCGCTTACTTGACTTGACGGTAGCAATGAGGGCAGAGCAAGGGTTGTACTGGTGAAACACGGATTATACACACACACACATGCCGGGATATACCATGACCACGCCGTGGTGCCGCCTCGCCTGGGTGGGGATACTAGCAACGATTTCTCTTACAGGTGAGTTTATGTATTGCAGGTGTGAACCTCAGGTGGGTTACCTGCCTGTTTACCTGTGTTCGGTAATGGACCTCCGACGACTGTTACTCTCGTACCTCTGTCACATTCCCACCATTAATTTACAACAAATGTACTATTTACACAAATATTTAAGAATATGTTGTACAACCTTATCAGAATCACTTAAAAACACGAACAAAAGAAATTATTTCGAAAATAATTACGACTACAATAGCGCAGTTACTCACCATAAATCATCATTTATTGTTGTTACACTACAAGGGGCTCTCGCTATTCGTCATTACTAATAAAATGATCGCGGATAGAAAAAACACACACGTTTAAATGAAAACTATCAAGTGCCTACATAATTCTCAAACAAACATTAACCAGTTAATTATTTCTGCGATGTATAACTTCTGTAATATTAATAATTATGTTATGAAATAACAGAATGATTAAATTCTGCAATGGTGTTATGTATTCAGTTCCCGGTATTTACATTCTGCCCACAACACAGTGAGCTGTTTGTTGGTTGACAGACCCTCGACTACACAAGGTGTTCTCAGACTCGGGTCCCACTATCAACACAACAGCTGTAGCCCGACGCGTCCCACGTGTTGGGTCACAAGGAAATAGACACATCTGGCTACATATTGCCAGTTTAATGATGATAATGAAGATGATAAAGTGATAAAGTTGCTATCTAGGACATGGATATTTTACTCTCAAAAATATTATGACTAGCACAAGAGTGACGGGCTGCATCTGATGTACGTGGTCATAGCTGATGATTTAACACTCTGCATACATGAACCATAACATAAGGAACAAGACAACGTGTTGGTCAGCTACTTACACTTAGCAATGAATTATTCATATTTAACGCTGAATCATTGAATCCTATTATTATTACTATTACTAGGCAATAAGAACATAACAATAATAATCTTGATCAGACACAACATAAAAATGGACATTTCAGAACGTTGACATAAGGTTAATAATCTACCTCGTCTTATCCAGTATACCGACTCGTCAGATTTGATGTAACGTTGCTTTAAATGATTAAACAAGTAGTTTGTAACGAGTATGAATCAACGTTGCTGTAAAGTTGAAACTAAGGAATGATATCATACATTTTCAAAATACATAGGCCGCCTTGTGTGGTGATTAATCCAGTTCGATATTCGAGTTGACGTTAGATATATTTGCAACTTTCTTCACTCGCTCGACGTCACTGTACCTCGATGGAGTGCATAGTTGCTCACATCACAGGATTGTCTGGTTTAGACTCGATGATACACCTGATTCAGCTGGAATATGTAGATATTCTGAAACAACTCGCACAGCACACTACCTCAGCCTCTAGCGCCATCTGGGAGGGTGGGGTAGTCTAGTCGGTAAAGCGTTCGCTCATCACGCCGAAGACCCGGGTTTGATTCCCCACATAGGTGTAATGTGTGATGCCCATTTCTGGTGTCCCCCGCCGTGATATTGCTGGAATATTGCTAAAAGCGGCGTAAAACACAACTCACTCACTCTGGTGTCCCCCGCCGTGATAATGCTTGAATATTGCTAAAAGCGGCGTCAAACTAAACTCACTAACTCTCTAGTGCCACCCCCCATCCCCAAGGCATGTTTAAAATACAGACACATATATGTGACAAATGAAATCACTGAGCCCGTGATGTTTGTGTTCTCTGATGTGATGATGTATATGTTGTGACACACGTCGCTGCAGAACCTAGTTGTCCCCGACCCCCACGTCATGTTGACTATAGGTAGGTCTACATCGCAGCCTAATTGTAATGGATGGCCACATTCAAATGACACACAAGAATTACTCTTAGGTTCAGGGAATCGTACATTGCCGAAAATGCCAAATTTTGGAGTCCCCACTGTGCAATATTGCTAAACTGAGTGTGACATTATAAATGTACGCACCCATTCATCAAGTGAAAAACTAAGACATTTAAAAATATGTATATCTTATTGGATTGGGCTGCCCTCTCTTACTGACGATTAACTGATTAAAGATTCGCTATCCATTCCACTATCATCACCTTCAGTCCATACCCATCCCCTTCCCAGCTCTTGCAGCCTATGCCCATCCCCTTCTCAGCTCTTGCAGCCTATACTCATCACCTTCTCAGCTCTTGCAGCCTATACTCATCACCTTCTCAGCCCTTGCAGCCTATACTCATCACCTTCTCAACCCTTGCAGCCTATACTCATCACCTTCTCAACCCTTGCAGCCTATACTCATCACCTTCTCAACCCTTGCAGCCCTCATCACTCATCACTCATCTTCTCAGCTCTTGCAGCCTATACTCATCACCTTCCTCACCCTCTGCAGCCTATACTCATCACCTTCTCAGCTCTTGCAGCCTATACTCATCACCTTCTCAACACTTGCAGCCTATACTCATCACCTTCTCAACTCTTGCAGCCTATACTCATCACCTTCTCAACCCTTGCAGCCTATACTCATCACCTTCTCAACCCTTGCAGCCTTCATCACCTTCTCAACCCTTGCAGCCTATACTCATCACCTTCTCAACCCTTGCAGCCTATACTCATCACCTTCTCAACTCTTGCAGCCTATACTCATCACCTTCTCAACCCTTGCAGCCTATACTCATCACCTTCTCAACCCTTGCAGCCTATACTCATCACCTTCTCAGCTCTTGCAGCCTATACTCATCACCTTCTCTCAACCCTAGCAGCCTATACTCATCACCTTCTCAGCTCTTGCAGCCTATACTCATCATCTTCTCTACCCTAGCAGCCTATACTCATCACCTTTTCAGCTCTTGCAGCCTATACTTACCCTATTCTTACATAACAGCCAACACACATCCCTTTTGATCTCTTCCGTGTATTGAATGTTCTGCAATAACATTGTTTAATCTTGACATAAATTTAATGCTGTCACTTTATTTTGGCCAAAATCTGGTGAAAGGGCGTGCGTTAACATGCCCAATGATGTGCTTAAATAACATCTCCCGAACAAATGGTCACATCAAATATAAAGGCTGGTAAAAACTGCATTCCAGTTAACACACAACTACTACATACACCTACTGCCTACACTTAGGGAGACGACACGGTACAACAAAGACCCTGTTGTAATTATATATATAGTTTAACCTGATTCCTTGCATCGCGCGCCAGTTAAGCGAGCAGCTAAAATCAGACGCTGAACCTGAGACTAATTCTATTTATTCAACACCCCGTACAGATCTGGCCGTGATGTAAAATTAAATGTCCTTTTCATGTGCACATGAATCAAACAATGACGCTCGCCCGGCGTAGCGAGTCTTAAAGTATCTCCCAGCTGTCACTTACAATGAAAAGTAGTTCTGCTTGCTCTTCCGTCAACGTGACAATAGCGTGACAGTTGAGCATGTCCATAGCTCGTGCACACGGCAATGGGCGGGACAAGATGGGCTGACAGGCAACCCGTGATGCTAATCCTATATATCAACTTGGACCAATATTTGTATTACTAATAACATTGTCAATGTGTCGTGAGCCCTGTCACTGTTCCTATACGTATGTAACATATGCACATAGTCGGAAATAGCAACAATTACCACTTAGACAGCATAGGTTGGCCATGTCGTTAGTGCGCTCGCTCGCTCGTGTACGACCCTAGTTCTAATCCCAACATGGAAACCGATATGATTGTAATATTCATCGCTTGTTCCATGCCGTATAATTTATGAAATTATGGAAATGAACATAAGAAAATAGCTTTGGGTATCGCTAATATGTCGTCCTAGATGTACAACTTTTGTGTCAAGCCGCGTTTTTGTGGTATGATATCAGTCTATCGATCAGTCTATCGATCAGTCTAACGATCAGTCTATCGATCAGTCTAGCAACATATGATAAACATGCGGATAAAGTAAATAGACACATTTCTAACAACCCTGGATGCGCTTGTGGATACCACAATGAAGATACTGTTCATCTTTTTACATGTAAGTTATACACTGCTATTAGAAATAATACCTACGTCTATGTAAATGGCCACAATCTCCAAACTGTGTTATACGGAATACCTCCGGCAAACAACAACGTCAATAAGAACATAATAGAGTCCCTGCATCAATATATCTTTAAGTCTAAACGATTTGACAAATTATACTAACAATTATATGCAATCAATTAATGAAGTGTAGCTGCAGGCTCAATGTTTATAAGCACCTACAACGCACATATATGATTTAATTTGTCGGTTTTTGTATCTTGTGTATTTTGTTTTAATGATATATGTACTGGTGAGGTATTGATATAAGCAGAGTTCTGCTTGTTTACCAAACCAGATTCTCTAGGAATAAAAATATGTTTAAACCATATGATAAACCAACCAGAAACTAAATAGTCTCATTTTTACACAGAAACTGTTACATATATTACTTATGACAGATTGACGCGGTGTGTTAGAATCGGTGTTCTATAACCTTAGTCTCAGTACAGATAAGGTGAAGACCCAGATGTAATATTGGCAACAGAAGGCGTGCCTTGTCCCGCTATCTTAACTCTGATACTCGTTAAAGTAGGTTTTAGAAAGTCTTTGAAAATATCTACTTGAAATTTCCATAACCCGTTAACTAAAATTTCTGCGAGGCCGTATGTACCACCAGCCCATTAAACTGTTTACCACAACACAGCAAACGTGGTATACAAATATCAATATTGACACATACTCTCCTCACGTCTGTAATCCCTCTTGACCGGCGCTGCCCACGTTGAGAGTGGTTTCATTAAACCTCATTAGAGCGATCTGTGGCTTGACCACTGGGTAGTACCGGGTGGGCGGAGGGGTCACCGCTTATCTTTGATCCTGGTCACAGACAAGACACCTTCTTTGTTCTGGACAAACATACCCGTCTTTGTTGGTACGGCGAGGCGTCATTGAAGTTGAGAGACACTTGACGTTAGGATCAGCGTGCCCCTCCCCCTTCCTGTAATTGTAACACCCCAGTCCGTCTCCTGGTACCGCATGTCCGTCTCCTGGTACCGCATGTCCGTCTCCTGGTACCGCATGTCCGTCTCCTGGTACCGCATGTCCGTCTCCCGGTACCGCATGTCCGTCTCCTGGTACCGCATGTCCGTCAGCCAGTTGGAATCCAAGGTCACCCTATACTGTGTGATTGACCACAGCATAATCACTCCGAACAGACCATTCCTTGTTTTCCCCCAAAATGGTGGACGCCAGGCAAGGCAACAACAAGTGCCATTTTGTTTACTCCGGTTAGACTGATTCCACTTGACCATGGAACTGGTCAGGTCATCTCAGATTAATATTTTATAGACGAACATGATCACTGGCTTGCGTCTGCATGGTAATTCTTTTAAGATCGCCAACAAGCTTAGTCAAACAGTTGCTTTTATATGAACCTGACTGTGTTACATGCAAGAGGTGACGTCATGAACGGTATATTATCTCTATTTGATGAACTTATTCGAACCTGACTGAAATAAAAGCGAAATCCAAAAGAATAACTAATTTCGAAATTCACTCAATTCCACTTCACTAATTTCAATATCCACTCATTTCCAACCCATAACTAACTCTGAAAATCGCAAGCAAACCCAGCTCTCGTCTACTTACTTCAGACCCATGCTTGTCGTAAGAGGCGACTAATGGGATCGGGTGGTCAGACTCGCTGACTTGGTTGACGCATTTCGTCGTAGGTCGATGATCATGATGTTGATCACTGGATTATCTGGTCCAGGATCGATTATTTACAGACAGCCTCCAAATAGCTCGAATATTGCTGAGTGCGGCGTTAAACAACACAACCAACCAACCAACCAACCAACCAACCAGCCACCAACTTGCTTCAGCATCAAAGCACATTAATGGTGCTCGAGTCAAGCGTTTTATTTCTCTAAACGCTAATTCGGGACTACCCATGTAATCTTATAATTTATTGATAAATATTGTATTAGCCCATAAACTTGATTATACCTATGAAACAATTTCTGGTTGTAATAAATGCCTCGGTGCGTATGTTCAAGTGCTGCACGGGCAGCTTATGTTGTACGTCAACACCTCAACACATAAACACGATATAAGCAGCCAGTGATGTTGCCTATCAACACAGTCCTGAACATTGGTGTAAAATACCTTAGTAATCCATATGATCTCAGCTGAACCTGTCGGGCACTCTGTTGACCTCGTAACAGTTTAACACCTCTGGGATAAAAGCGAGCATCGGCCACAGAATCTCCAGAAGACAGGAAATTCCCGTACACGTCTGTAACCCATCAGACCACTGTAGCAATACTATTTGATTAGTATTAAGGTAGATAGTATATAAACTCCGGTCAGGAAATCCCCTTACCCGTTACATTAGATCTGTATGACAATACAATTCGATTAGTATCAAGGTGAGTAGTATATAAACTCCAGACAGGAAATCCCATAGCCCGTTACATTTTGTCAGTGTGACAATACTACTCGATTAGTATCAAGGTGAGTAGTATATAATCAACAGACGGGAAATACTGTAACCCATATCATTTTGACAACATGTTACACTTACACTTAATTAGCACGATTAGTATCAAGGTGGACAGTATATTAACTCCAGACAGGAAATCCCATAGCCCGTAAATTCCATTAGATCAGTGTGACAATACTACTCAATTAGTATCAAGGTGGATGGTATATGAACTCCAGACAGGAAATCCCATAGCCCGTTACATTAGATCAGGGTGACAATACTACTCAATTAGTATCAAGGTGGATAGTCTAAACTCCAGACGGGAAATACTGTAACCCATGTCATCTTGACAACATGTGATACTACCACTTAATTAGCATGATTAGTGTCAAGGTAGATAGTATATAAACTCCAGACAGGAAATCCCATAGCCCGTTCCATTAGATCTGTGTGACAATACTACTTGATTAGTATCAAGGTGAGTAGTATATAAACTCCAGACGGGAAATACTGAATCTATTTCATTCGACTCGTGTGACAATACTACTTGACAAGTGGTATTATGAATGAAGGATATTGGTAGCTAATGACCCGCGGGTCAAATTACATACACACCTGTGTGATGCAGGTTCCTGTGTTGTGGATCGACATAGCCTTGCTCCAAGGCTGTACTGAATGCTAAGCCCGTGTATAGTAATTCTATCCTTTAAAGAGGCAAGTCTAGATAAGCGGACAGTAAGGACGCTATTCTGTCATCTGTATTTGTTTTACAACTTTTCATTGAATCTATAAATGATTACCTTAAAGATTTGTGCAAGTCTAGGGTCGGTATTATGTGCCGGTTACTAAGGAGCAGGGAGTGGGATGTACCTGGCTGTGTGTGGCGGGGACACCGTGTTCTGTGAGCTCACAAAGGCCCAGCCTCGGTAACTATATATCGGACATGTCCATAAACTGCTTGTAATTGTTGTCGGTCTTGGATTTCCGCTAAACCTTGCCAAGGGTTTATCTGTCCCTGGACAAACGATGTAGGAAATTGAGAACACCTCTGAACCTTAGACATAAAACAAATGTCGGGAGGTCTGCATTAATTATATATTGTTAGTCATGATATTATCGGAAACATTTCCATCGTAATCCCCTCCACGGAACGGTGAACTGGTAAACCGATAACTCCAGGGTAAACGTTCTACCTCAAAATATACTGAGCGAACTCGACAAAGAGGCTGTTCGGCATTGGTTTGGTTGTTGTTTAACGCCACTCAGCAATATTCCAGCTATATGTCGGCGGTCAATAATCGAGTCTGGACAAGACAATCCAGTGATCAACATCATGAACATCGATCTACACAATATGGATACGATGACGTGTCAACCAAGTCAGTGAGCCTGACCCCTGATCCCGTTAGTCGCTTCTTACGACAAGCATGGGTTGCTGAAGACAATTTCTAACCCGGATCTTCACGGGTTCTGTTCGACATTGATTACTTAATGTTTTATTCTCGTGTGAGAGTAACACACTAAAACTTTGATACGTGTTTTATTACTTGGTTTGGTTCAGTGTGGCTGCAATATCACTCTGAAGTGAGTACAATTATCAACCAGCCCTTCTGGTAGAACCTAAGTCACGTTACAGGCAACAACGTCCATCTTATGCTGATCACTCCCAAATTACGTTGAATCGATATTTAAGATGTCGATGGTTTATATTACCGCTGCGGAGACGTAGCACCGCGAACGGCTACACAACTACTACGAACTGAGAAACGTCGTTATCCAGCTCATTACAATAGGGTAAAAACAACCCCCGCTTTACACAGCCTACTCAGTTAATGAGAAACTCTGAGAAAATACAACCAGGCACGCAAAACATCCCAACTACTTTACCGTAAAGTCGATTACGCTTTCATTTCTTTTGTCGGATCCTCACAAACGTATTTTAATGAACAGGTGAAGTGAACATCTCGCCAATCTAGATATCACCTGTCTGTTGAGCGCTGTAACTTACAAGCAACGTATACCGTGACTCCTCGTAACAACATGGCGTAATGCCGCCGACCGCCTTGGGCGTTGTACATTCTGCTCCGCTTTATTCGAGCATATTTAAGTGACGTTAATTGTTCTGGAATAGGAATTTTACAGCACTCGCGATCCGGAAAAGTTTCATGTCTTCCATGACTTAAAAGAGAAAACGCTGATACGTCATTGTGGAAAGGGGCGGTTCATTGTGATTTTACAATTTACATTAAACTGTAATTTTGTTGAATATATATCATCAAATTTGGAACTAATACTGTTTATTTTTAGATTAATTTAACGAACGTATAAGTATAATAATAATAATACACTTCCAAAAGAGGATTGGGGTTAAGAGTACCACACACTGAGACAGACACACATAGACACTGTCAGTTAGGTTTTAACTCTTGTCTACATGGAAAATATTTCAAGTAGGCATATTTCGTTTATCACTTCACAAACGATTTATTCAACGTGCTTTCATTTCATTTTATTCTCAGCGTTATTATTGTTCTTACTTAAAGAATCAAATACATTACGGTTGTTGAACCTTTCCAGTAGGTTTCAATACCTCCTCACCCATCAACAACACGAATAGCAGTACCTAACAATAACATATATCTCGCTTGAAGATAAGGCATTTATTTACGACCATAATGGTACTTCCTTCAGATGATATAATTGAATTGAACAAAAGTTTTCGATTCTATTAAATGGTAATAAAAATTGACCGCGTTCCCACAAGTCCCCAGCACACGGCATCAGTTGCATCAGTACATGGTCCCTCATCTGGACGATTAAGTGCGTCTCGGAACGACAAACAGCTAAAGTGGTTGTACGTTTGTAAAGACATAAAAGTGTAGTGAGAGTACCTGCATGTAGCCTTGCGGTGTCCCAGTGACCTCGGTTACATCCTCTATTGTCAGGTGCCTGCCAGGGCAAGACTTAGCCAATACTGCAATTCCCGGAACACACTGCACCTGCCAATCAAGGAATTCCTGTTCAGCTAAGCCCATTTGAAACCAGCCGTGCAAGAAAGTGAATGATTTTGAGGAATTTCAGGCGCATAGTTATGTTGGTTATCTTTACGAATGACAAACAACGCAAAATGTGCATTGTCGACATACCTGTTTGAACACGCGAAGTTTGATTCGCCCCAGACTTTATGAAACACGTGATTTGAATTAAATCCTTGAGACAATGTCGCGTTATATAGATGTCCGTATATAGACACTTAACTTGTAACCTCCATCCCCCCTACATAGATTCCAAGTTAAATGGGTCCCCTACAACTTATGCTGGACGTAAGAGGCGACTTTACTGAGCAAATAGTGCCGCTTACCTCGAACAGTAATAGATCTACAAGAATGACCTCTACGAGCCCTCTCGGGGACAGTTTGGCCATCATCCTGTTTCAGCTTTTCAAATATGACTGGTTATGTTAATTTATAGCAAATGGCGTGGTAAGAATCTAGACCCTTCTTCTCTTTGGGCTTCCTTCCACATAAGGTGCTCCGCCATTATCCTTGATATTTCTTTCAAAAGGTGTTAATTCCATGTCATTCACTCAATAATTAAAAAGAAATATTTCGTTTTCGTGTTAGTTTTTCTTACTAATCAAAAACTTTTCAATTGATATTTTCATTAAAAAACAAACATAGCGCTCTGAGGTTCGCGCTCTGTTCATAATCCATCAGGGTTGTAGGTATATTTGGTGACGCCATTCTTCCATCACAGTAGGTCAAATGTCAGATATTAAGATGCTGCAGTTGTCTGTGAAGCACGTATGTAAATACCTGGTCGCCACCCTGATACCCGTCAGTGGCTCTGTGTCGGACAGGAAGGGGGATTGTCGCATGCCTGTTAATACCCCCAGATACACAACACGTGACCGGTAGAGGCAGGTGAAATACCATGGCTTAATCGTGTAATTACTTACCAGGGACCACTCCGCGCATATCCCAACAACCGGGGTTTATGCTGACTGTTTCACTCTTCAAACCGATGGCACCTTACCATAAGAGAAGGGGCGGTAGGGAAGCCTAGTGGTTAAAGCGTTCGCTCGTCACGCTGAAGACCCTGGTTCGATTCACCACATGGGTACAATGTGTGAAGCCCTTTTCTGGTGTCCCCCGCCACGATATTGCTGGAATATTGCTACAAGCGGCGCAAAACTAAATTCACTTCAATAAGAGAAGGCCGACCCCTTAAAGCCCATCACTGTCGGTCAGGTCGGGACGATCACAGGGATGGTCTGGCTAATCTGTGTTTGAAATTTGAAACAAAAACAATACCCCAGGCTGAACCCACTGACTTTAGAACTGAACACTCCAGGCCTCGTTTAAAGACCCTAGACCCGCGAAGTTCCAAGTCAGACTTGGTCATCAGCAACCCATGCTTGTCGTAAGAGGCGACTAACAGGATCCGGTGATCAGGCTCGCCGACTCGGTTGACACAAGCTATCGTATCCCAAAATCGTAGATCGATGCTCATGATGTTGATCACAAGAAGGTCTGTTTCAGACATATTGCTGTGTGCGGCGTTAAACAAACCATCATTATTCAGACTGTCAGTCGTGTAGGTAATTGCAACATTGGGGGACCGAACCCAGTACAGGTCTAACATCCGGGGAGTGAACCCAGTACAGGTCTGACATCCGAGGACTTATCTCGGCATAGGTGTAACGTATGACGCATACATTCTCATTCAAGGACTATTATCAGATTTCAATACCCAGTATTACAAACATAATACTCGTTTAAGGTATAATTGCCCAGATATACATACGGTCGCTAGGATGGGTAAAATTACTTTTATAAAATATCTTTTTAATAACGTTAACGGGTGGTTTGTGCAGAACTTACGTCCAGTGCAAAGAACCCCGAACATCCGATTTTTCCGTGTGCAAAATCGGGTTTCACTAGACAACTATTTCCAGTTGAGATAAAGACACTTTATGCGCAAGTAAAACAATAGGTTGGCTTGGTTACCTTAAGTTTTAGGCGAAACTACAAATGGACACAAACTTCAACATGATTGTACACTGTTGGCCGCAATGCTAAGTCCACACATTCACGGACAAATGTTGACCAGTCGTATCCATTAAAGTCAACAAAGAACGCGTATGCGGATCTGTTCAAGAAGTCGTTTGTTTCTTTTGTCTTCACAGTATACAGCTGAACTCGTTTCACCTCCTCGACACAAAGCCACGTGAAACTCGACCAGTTTGTTATTCACCGACAACAAAACATGCTTCTAAAGTGACAATATCATTTTGTCGTTGAGAAAAACAACAAAGGTAAAGTCATGGATCGGCAGACATTTTCATTACTGCCGAGATAGGGATACACGTTGTTTGGTCTCTACACAAACACCACCTGGAAGCAATTCCTTAAAACATACTCCACAAGTTTAATCTGCTTTTAATATCGACTCAAGAGAGTGCAAGGCTGTTAACAGAAGGCTAGGAATGCAACTCCGCGCTCAAACAGGTAGCGAAACTATGCAAGAACGCTGGTTACAGGTATATGTGATTATACGGTAACTGAACGCTGTCCGTCTGCTCATCAGTCACACCTGGACAAACACTGACCGGGAGTGAGAGAGGGAGGGTATGGTCAAGCATTGGAAAACTGGCAATAGCGTGGTGAGGTCAGAGAAACATGGATAGTATCCTCTGTTAGAAAACAACGCGGCTGTTATTTGCACCCCTTCTGCCCATAACGCATGTTAAGCTATAGTTTCAGGGTGTAAGAGTTGTACATGTGAGCCTCATGGATAGTTCTCGTATACAGGCAGCCTCGTGGTTACAGTGTTCAATATCACATGGGTACAATGCGTGAAGCCCATTCCTGGAGTTCCTCCGATGTGCTATTGATGGAATTTTGTTAAAAGCGGCGGATAACCTCTGAATCATTCACTCAATCTGGTGTACAGGTGATGACGGTGATATCTCACCACTAGCTATTGTTCAGCTATTCACCACCATGGTCTTGAAAATGGATTTACGAACTTTCTGAGTCGCCAAATTAATAAACACTTTTGATCCGCCGACAAAGGTGAGGTGAGAAAGGTATTAAGAAAGGTATTGAGGGGTGGGCATCCGCTGCATCCCAGTTTGTGAATCTGGAAATGCTTACTTCTAAGGTGCAAGATCCCACCAACGTTCAGGACCTCACCATGAGTCATTAAAGCCACCTATCCCCGCTAATCCTGTCCATCCCACCCCCATGTTTGTTTTCAGTCACACGTACGAAGGTTCGGTTTATTACGACTGGTCGTGTACATCATCCTTTCACTGGGTCCAAGATAAGCCCCCTGCCCGAAGTTCTCAACACTATCAATTGGAGATGCCCCCGGGGCTTCTGATTTCTACCAACGAAGACCAGGTTAATTACTGGAGCACTGGACAATGGTCACTCTGTTACTCTACCCACCTTCCCTTCCCAGCCATGCATGGAGCGTGTCCATCTATCTCGACCCAAAGGAACCATCTGAAGGTCATGCCAAGGTTATGGACTTAATGACAAAGCTGCATTATATTTCACGATCATTTTCCTTGGCGAATAAACACGGGTTATATTTCAAGCAGTGAAAGAAAACATTCGTCAGGGGGATAGCGTCATCAATTTTCGCTTTATGCTGATGTTTCACAGGATGAGAGTGGAAACCTGACACCCGTCAAGCAGTCCAACGAAACATGGATCACAGTTTTCGCACTCGCCAAGCTCCCATTATGCGGCTCCCTGAGCCTGCTACTTCAAACGGGGCAGATTTCTTAAGCTGTTAAATGAACCGAGACACGGACACCCGTCCCCTTTCATATCCGCGGGGACAGAAAAAAATGACAATGGCTAATCTGAATGCTGATTTATCGGCTGTTGCCTCCCACGGAGTAGCACAAGGACTTCATAAGCTGGTTGACCATGTACGTCATGTTGAGATTTCCAGACGAGGGGACTCTCTATACCACCAGGGGGTGGTCCTTACTACTGGCCATACCAATCCTACCCCTGAGGCTTGCTCCACATCTCATTGGGATTCTGTCCCATCCGTTGCTACGTCGAACACTGTAATACTGTCTGCATCACATCCCTGAACAATATTATCTTCACTTCCGACCAACCCTTGCTGTGGAGCAAAATCCTTAGACGAAGCTTGTCTAGATTTTCCTCGGACTAACCTGTCACTGGGCTCCTTTTCAGATCAAAGTCATTTGTTTCTCTTAAAATTACACATTTGTATAGATTAAGCGTTGGTGACAAAACCCCACTGAGTCCTGTGTAAAACAAGTTAAACAGATTACTTGGTTATGTGAAAACACATCAACATGTCACTAGATAATGTACTATGGTTGTGGAATTGCGTAGATTGATGTTCATGCTGTTGATCACTGGATTGTCTGGTTCAGACCGCCACCACGTAGCTTGAATATTGCTGTATTGCTGAGTGCGGCGTAAAACAACAAACAAAACATAACTTTGGTTGTATTAATCACCATTACTATAGTCCGTTTGGCTCAAAAGCGGACACGGTGAATTTGCAATATAACTCGAAAACTAATAAACATAACATACTCAATGAAACGCTGATCATAATCAAAACATCATACCCACTCTGTGAGGTTTTTGCAGAATTTTTGTCCTAAAAATAAAAAAGTTGTTTAACAAACTATCATTAAAATATTGACACAGTTCACTGTTTGTTACGAGGGAGGAGTGCAGAGAAAGGGACAGCCAGGTGTTCGAGAGGCACGTTCACAGACAAAGTTACTTATTCATTAACCTTTGCTGTGCCGTCTCCATCCGTTCTCGAACACCTGGCTGTCCCTTTCTCTGCACTCCTCCCCCGTAACAAATAGTGAACTGATTGTTAAACAACTTTTTTTATTATTAGGACAATGTGGTATGATGTTTTGATTATGATCAGCGTTTCATTGAGCATTTTATGTTTATTAGTTTTCGAGTTAGATTGCAATTCA